ATGTGTGTGTGTGTGTGTGTGTATGTGTGTGTATATATATATATATATATATATATATATATATATATATATATATATATATATATATATATATAGACAGTTCACCTAAATAAAATTCCTTAATGTGGTACTTAAGCAATTGAGCTAATTTTGTTCAAATTATTTGATAGAAATAGTGTTGCATTGTATTTCAGTTGAATGAAACACTAATATTAGGATAAATACAAATAGTATTAATAAGTCACGATTTTGTTTGTGAGTGTGTTAGCATAACCATTTCATATGATCCTGTGAATTCAAAACATTGAGGTATCCGACTAGTAAAGTAAATCTAATACTAATTACATGGCATGAGGTATGGAAAAACTAAAAAAGCCCACAGTTACCCTCCTTTTACTAAAATATCGCTTCCTCTTTCCTTCTAAAATGAGAGCAGAGAGGAAAGTACGCTACTTATAGGCATACATTAGCTGGTAGCTAGTGCTTTGTTATACTTTTTATAGTATACTGAAAATGTAAACATTAACGTATGAGCATAGAGCAGATGCTGCTGTGTAGAAAATTTAGCAAACACTGTAACGTATCATCACAGTGTAATTATGAATTTTGTTAGTTGACGTCCCCGGTATCTAAATATGTGTCCTGTAAGTGTTACATATGTAATGATTTTCTAAACCTAATTGTAGCTGTAACAAAAAACAATTGATTTTGAAATGAAACATGGAAGTTTTGTAAAAAGCGCTTTATGAAGTCAGGACTATAGTCAGGTCCTGTAAGTTAGCCCTGTTTTTCTCCACTTCAGTAAGCTTCTGTCTAAAAATGTGTTAAACACGCACACGCGCACACACACACACTCTCTCTCAGCTCTCCTTAATAGATATTACCTTATAATATTTTTTTCACTCACTCACTCACTCTCGTGCATGTTGTGACTCAGCTGTTCTGCCTAAAGCCGTATGAAAGCTGTCTCAGACATACAGAAACTTTAGACAGGAGGAGCGGCTCTCCCACTGAAACACAAATACGGCACTGTCTCTCGTTTACGCACACACATATATGTGTGTGTGTATGTATGTATGTATGTATATATATATATATATATATATATATATATATATATATATATATATATATATATATATATATAAATAAATAATATTTGTCTCCTTCATTCTCTGTCTTTCTCTCTCACTTTTTTTTTTTCTCTCTCTCCTCCTCTCTCCCCTCTCCCCCACTCTGTTCTTTACCCTCTGAGAGTCATTTGAGACCTGTTGTATCACGATGGGTGTTGGTGTCACTGAAGCCGTGGCGTGTTTGTGCTTCCTGAACACACAAACATATTTAGGCTCCAAATCTCTCTCAGCAGGCAGCTCCAGCAGCCCACACGTTCAAATCCTTTTGTTATGTAAAAGCCTGTGAGTTTAACAGACAGAGCGTGTATTATAGTTGGAGTAAACAGTGCAGGCTTTACCATCGAGAAGAGAGATACACCCCCTCCCTTTCACTCGCACTCTGTCTAGAAGGGACAACCCCCCCCCCCATCCTAGGATTAGGCCCGGGAGGAGGGGGTGCAATAAAACAAACAAACACACATGCTGCCAAATAACAACGATGCTCAGTAAGAAAACATATTTCCCAGAGCCAGTCAGTGTTGTGCTGTCTGTGGAGTAGGCCTTAATCCAAGCCTGCAGGGCGGCGTTTGGCCCCACTAAGCTGCTGCAGACTGAAGTGATCAGCATAATGTGATCAGCTTTACCCCGTAGCTGTTTGTAATGAAGGATAATTAGAATTTCAGTCTGCACTAAATCCTCCTTTTTTCCTCTCAGTGTTGTGGACAGATGGGGGAAGACCATGCCGGGCCCTGTCATTATTTCCTCTGGCTAATGAGTTACCTGCTGCCCATATCTCCAACTATTCAAGTCTTGTTTTTATATGTATTCAGAATACTGTGAGCATTCATACACAGTGAAATACTGATGCTACAGCAGCACAGCACTCCTACCATAAAATGTATGGGGAGAGGAGCAAAAACAGTCGGGGTGGAAATAGTACCACCAGTGCACGAAATAGCTATATATGCGCTAATGTTCACAAGCTATTAACTTGTAAATACAATGTTGTAATTATCCATTTGTCTGTGTGTGTATATACACACACACACACACGCACACATAGATAGGCACTTTATTAGGAACTTTATAGTTTCTATACTCATTTTTTTATCAGCTCTACTTCTACAATTACAGACTGTAGTCTGTCTGTTTCTCTGCATTTTTTGTTAGCCCCCTTTTACCCTGTTGTTCAAGAGATAGGACCCCCACAGGACCACCACAGAGCAGGTATTATTTGGGGGGTGGATCATTCTCATCACTGAAGTGGTGGTGGTGGTGTGGATCAGACACAGCAGTACTGCTGGAGTTTTTAAACGCCACAGTGCCACTGCTGGACTGAGAGTAGACCACTAACCAAAAATATCTAGCCAGCAGCGTCCCATAGGCAGCGTCCTGTGACCACTGACAAAGGACTTTAGGTTGACCAACACAAGCTATGCAGCAACAGGTGAGCTGCTGTCTCTGTCTTTACATCTACAAGGTGGACTGACAAAGTAGGTGTGTCTAATAGACAGGACAGAGCGTGGACACGGTGTTTAAAAAGTCCAGTGTCTGATTAACTCATACCAGCGCAACATCCTCTAACACACAGTCAGTCACACTGCAGTGCTGTAAATAATCCACCACCCAAATAATGCCAACTCTAATATCTACTCTGTGGTGGTCCTGTGGGGCTTCAGACCATTGAAGAACAGGGTGAAATGGAGCTAACAATTTATGCAGAGAAACAGATGGACTACAGTCCATAATTGTAGAACTCAAAGTGCTCCTGTATGGTAAGTGGAGCTGATAAAATGGGCGATGAGTGTTCATACAAGGAAGTGTTCCAAATAAAGTGCTCAGCATGTGTGTGTGCTATACAGTGTGTGTGTGTGTGTGTGTGTGTGTGTGTACATATATGTATGTGTGTGTGTGTGTGTGTGTGTGTGTGTGTGTGTGTGTGTGTACATATATGTATGTATGTGTGTGTGTGTGTGTGTGTGTGTGTGTGTGTGTGTGTGTGTACATATATGTATGTATGTGTGTGTGTGTGTGTGTGTGTGTGTACATATATGTATGTATGTGTGTGTGTGTGTGTGTGTGTGTGTGTACAGTACTGTACAAAAAAAGTCATCTGAAAAAAAGAAAAAAAATGAACAATTTATCTGGGCATTAAGCCTTTATCTGCTTAGGAAAATACTAATATCACTGTAAATATGAATAATATTAATAAAGTAAGTATTTTGATTTTATGTATGCCAGTGTGTTCGTTTAGCCATTTGCAAACCTCTCCTCACAGCAGCCCAGTATTATTTTGGAGTATTATCCAATAGCTGTTTTGGCAAATCAGTACTTTATTATGTTACTTGTGCTGGTGATGGAATTTAATAATTGCATGTGATACGGGATATATGGGCTTTACAAGCAACAAAACACAAAGATAAATGGTATAAAAATAGCTTGTAAAAATTTTCCACTGAAACTCCTTCTTACCCTCTCGTTTCAAGTGAAGACAGTACAGGTCAAACTGGTTTATTTAGGATGTTGTAATGTAGGGCTGTACATAGTGGCAAAACATGATGACCCGCAGTTTTCATCTTTGTTTGTCTTCTGGCCAGCCCGTCCTAATTAGCATGCATGCCGTTCACTGCTTATTATTTATTTATTTATTTAATAAATAAATAAATTTTTGCCTCGCCAGAAACTGATTTTAGTTGTGATGAAGGGCCTGCTCGGCCTGTCCAGGCATGTTTCGGCAGTGTTCTTAAATTTGTCCTTTTCCGCAGTTCTGTAGTTCTTCCTCGTCTGTTCTTTCAGTTCAGTGATTTCTGGAATGTGACGACAAAGAAATGAGGAAAAGCTTCAAGTTCCTGTTTTGTTAAACCTTTAGCACATTTGTAACGTCTCCTGCATTTGTTTCTGGGTGTGTTTTGACAATATTAACGTAGTCTTAATAATGGTAGTGGGTGTAGCATTAGCACCCTAACCACAGACACATCTAAGCTTCTTCTCTGTCAGATGTTGGTGCTTTTTGACCATTGTTCATTCAGAACATTATATGATTATTCAGTCAGCTGAGCACAGGCTGGCTGAAACCAAACTTACTGGTGGCCAAGAGCCTTAAGGAAATACCTAACCTAATCTCTGACTGCTGAATCTGGAGCATGTGGTTGATTTCCATGGGTAATAATTTTGACACATTTATCTGAACCTGGTAAAATATAGGGCTGAAGCCCTTGCCCACTGCCTTCCACCATGCATATACAAAACAGCATGGATTTTCCCTTCTTTTCTAAGTAAAGGGAGAAGCATCAAAGTATTGTCTATGATAATCAACCATATGCTCCAGGTACAGCAGAGAGTAGATTAAAAACTAATTAAAGTATTCTTTAATTCAATCATAGCAAAAAAGAAGGAGAGTGAAGCTCCCAGGCCAGCATAATCATTTGCCCCAGTCCAGTTTAGGAGAGATAAAGAAAGGTATCAGTTAAGTCTGTCTGAACAGGAGCTGTTTTTCCCCAGGCTTTTGCCATATTTTCATGAATGTTCTTTCCACTTTAAGACAAGGACAAAAAAAAGCTTTGCCACTTTCTAGCCTCTTTTTCTACAGATTCTAAGTGATATCAGTGGAAAGCTGTTTTGCAAACCTCCTGAGCAAGTTCAAGTAAAAAGAGCTTTAAAAAGAGTTAAAAGCAATTGCCTTGTTTGTGGTATAAATTATGTACTCTATTATTAATTGTGGCAGTGTTGACATTCAGCCGGTATCTGAAAACTTCTTTGTATAGCCCTGGCAATGAAAGAGTTTCTTTCTTTCTTTCTTCTTCTTGTAGTATAGAATAGGAATGCATTGATATCTGTACTTGTATCAGGTATTGGGTAACTCGTGCCTCTTCTCTTATGTCCCTGTAGGCTGCTCCAGACCCTCAACTGTGCAACATGGCCGTGGGAACCTTACAGAGACCAACCGAGGCTTCCTACCCATCGGCACAGTGCTGCAGTACAGCTGTGATTCAGGATACACCCTGAGTGGTGAGGGCATCATCACATGCATCGCTCCAGGCCATTGGTCTCCCAGCCCTCCACACTGCCTCAAAAATGACGGTGAGGATTTAAGTTTGGAACTGGTTGAGGGTATTAACATTTGCATTATTTTCACATACTATATTCATTTTTTAATCAGAACAGCATTAACTATCCTGAGTCACTAAATTTATGAAGGGAACATTCTCTGTTTGTCCAGTTTGTCGTCCACCCAGTGAGCCAGAGAATGGGGGCTATGTGTGCCACCCTACGCCCTGCCCCAAACTGATTGAAGGGACAGTAATCGAGTACTTCTGTGACGAGGGCTACACACTGAAAGGCTACAGGTACCACACCTGCAGGAACGGGGACTGGGACTCAGCCACGCCTATTGTCTGTCACCTTGGACAAGGTAGAGTATACTGCTGTGCCACTTGGCAATTCACTTGGATGTGATTTATAGCATAATAGTCAATATAAATAATCAATTATCAAAATGATACAATAGTCAGTTATCACACTGCTATCACTACTATGGTTTTTCATAGCTAAAAAGTGCAGTGGTCTTGAAAGACTGTGAAATATAGTGAAAACCTGTTTAGATACCTATAATCTTCATTTTGTTGTTGAGAAAAGGGTTATTAACAGTTCAGTCCGTGTTCAAAATGCTGTTACTGTTTCACTACAATGCTTTTAGAACATGTATACAATTATTAGTGAAAATGAATTCATCATTAATTTTGTGATTGCTTTAGACATAACTGTTCATTCATTTTTTCTGAATATTTGTAATTTTAATGTATGGTAATACTTAAATCATGAGGCATAATTTTGCTTTCCAGTTTTTTATTCCAGCACATTGGATTTGAACTGAAAGAATGACTGAAGGTCAAAGTGTTGACAACTAGTGAGCCTGTATACAGTTAGTGAAATCCTGGGGGATTGTGTATAAAAAAAGTGCTGTGATTCCTGTACAGTTTACTTAACCAGATGCAAATTTCATAGAAGTTTACATTTTCTACCTAAATGTCAGTCATTTCTTCATTTCTAATCTGGCTTGCTAGTATGTGCAGCCAATACAGTAAAACTTTGGTTACTTATGCGCTGTACGTGCTGATTGTGGCCTCCTGTCCAGCTGCGTTTTGCTCTAGATGCATGTGCGTCTCATATGTTGCTGTATGTGTTATTCACAGGAAAAGAGGAACGCTCTCCACTGGGTATGCCGGCTCTCTCTATTGTGGCTTCCACTGCTAGTTCAGTGGCCCTCATCCTCCTGTTGGTGGTCCTCTTTGTCCTGCTGCAGCCCAAACTCAAGTCCTTCCATCACAGCAGGTCAGACACTGTCTGCTTTATACAGAGCATACTCTCAGCATGCCATAGCATGTCTTTTTTCAGCTGTAGAGGCAGCTGAATGTAACTGCTGCACCATTTATAGTGGAAGGGAAATTTCGAATAAGAAGCCATCTTTCAGTTTCATTGAATTTGAATTTTTTGCTAATTGAAGTCATTTTGTCTCATATGTGCGTCCCACACACCCGTGCCTCTGACCGTTAGACACTATTGGAAATTGGAAAATATTACAGTTTTTCGTCCTATCTGTACCAGCTGGTCGGCTTGTTTCGTGCGCAAGCCTCCAGCCGTGGCCTCATCTGATGCAGCTGACCAAGTCAGGTGGCTTCTTGTGTACGTTTTGACAAAACTCATACCTGAAGAATTTTAACCGTTATACTGGATAAACAGGCATTGTGCCCACTGTCACCACAGCTCTTCAGGAGACCAACCGATGAAGCCATTAGTTAGATCAGTGGTTCAGCAGTTTAGTGTTTTCTCTGCTTTAACACCCCCTTCATGTCATGAACGGCCGGTTGTCTAATGAGTTGAATCAGATGTGTTTGAGCAAGAAAAACATAAATGCATGGGATACTCCAGCTGTTTGGAATATGTGATTTAGGGTTTTTTTCATGCTTGGCCCAAAATGGTTGAGCTTGCTCCCAGATTCGATTGTGGGCTTATTTGAGGAGGCAGTCAGAGTAGTTTTACCCAAATAAGAACATTTTGGAAGCTTACCCAGACCTGTCTTTGTAGAATTACAATGATGTATTGTTCTGTAATGTCTCTTTACTTTCAATAAAAGGTCTGTTTAACAACTGAAGTAAGTCTAAAATTGTAAAAACAGAAATGAACAACTCATTAACTCTTTACTTTCTAATGTTTGCTCTTTTGACAACAAACTGGCCTGACTTACCTCAGACTGCAACCCTATACAAGATAGGTTAACTGTGTTTATCTGGCATGCTGGTATAAAGGTATGACAAAGCTCATCCCTTCAAAAGAATATCAGATGAACCGGTATGTCACCCACTACTATCTTGATTAACAGCGTTTTTTGATGGGTGTGTGGCACCAACACCTGCGAATGACATGCCTTTCTTGCTTGAGAAGATTTTTATAGGTTTGTGACTAAGAAGAAGCGCATTGTATTCAGTGTTCTCAGCACTCTACATTTAGTCTAAATTTACATAAAACTAAATTGCAGTTCATTTGGATTTTATTATCTATAGAGAAAAAAATATTTAGACCAAATTATGGTATAAAAAAGTAAACACAGGAAATAACAGCATTGCACACAAGTTCGGAAGTGAACCCCAGGCCCCTGTCCTCAGGTAGACCAGAGAAGGGTTTTCTGGACTGCACTCGGGTCCAAAAAGGTTTCACACTTGACCAAAGGTACCAAACTCTACAAAAATGGCCTCAGACCCAGAAAAAAACTAAAGTTTAAATGTTCCCAGATATTTAGTAAGCTGAAATGAAGTGAATCATAAGACCAACTCGTGGAAATTTCACTAAATGTACTGTCTTTCTCATGGCAGCACTGTTTCTATAATGTGTTGTTTCATAAAAGTGTTCACAGCAGGGATCTCATTATTGTTTTTCATATTATTATTATTATTATTATTATTATTAACATCATTATTATTATTATTATTAGAAATTATTAATAATCTCCCCAACCCATTTACTCTTTCTCCAGACGTGAGCAGGGCGTGTCTGGCCAGCCTGCCTCCATGGTGGTCGAGGGTGTGCAGGTGTCTCTGCCCTCCTATGAGGAGGCTGTGTATGGCAGCGCTGGAGCGGCCGCACCTCCCCTGGAGTCCCGTGTGCAGATTGTGCTCTCTGAGGGTCCGCAGCCAGAGGCTGCTGCAGCAACGCTGGATCAGTCCCGAGCTGAGTACAGTCTGCCCTCCACGTCCTCCTCTTCCGCACGCTCCCGCCACGCCGAGACCGTGCTCGTTCACCAGGTGCCATCCTCCTCCTCCCCTCCGTCCTGGGCCGCTGAGCAGCCCGGGGCCGCAGCAGCTGCAGCCCGCAGGCCGAGCAGCGGAAGCAGCGACCAGCACAGCCTGCTCTCCCTCACATCCACTGAGGACTATGGCGATGGTAAACATGCTTTAAAGGAACAGTTTGGGAAAAATTGTACATAGTTATCGCACTCTACCAAAGATGTTATCCAAGATGTATTTAGTATTTAAAGTCTGCTGTCTTAGTTTTACACTTGAGCTACAAAGCTAATCCAGCTAACAAGTAATGGAAGCTTATACTTCACCAGTTAGCGTTGTGCAAACATCATCTGCATCTCTGTATCATCATACACTTGCGTCAAACTGCATCAAGTTTAAGCTATGTAGCATACTTTTAAAGATTTATGATTACTTAAAATTGATGTGAATTGGCAGTCGCAGCATATTTTTTCCTTACATACCAAGATGTATTTCTGAGTAAAGACAGTATTAAGGATCTCTGAGCTATCTGACCATTTCTCCTCGATTGGAGTAGCGGGATGGGGAGTTAAAACCTGAAATTATTGGTCAATGTTATGGGTAACACTTTATTTGGATTGTCGCCTGTAGATGCTTTCCAGATGCTTATCACCTTAATTTTCTCTAACCCTAAACCTGGGCCTAACCTGAACTTTTTAAACTTGACCCAAAACCTTAACCTAACCCTCATTCTGGTCCTAAACCTAAATCCTGGTCCTAATTCTAATCTTCTTAAGAATCAGCTGAGTTTCACCAGATGGTTTGTTGATAATTTAGACATCTATAAATCATCATCACGCTCTAACCTTAACTTCAATTCAAAATCTAACCCTAACCTTGGTCCTAAACCTAAAACTGCTGAAAATTAATTGAGTTTCACCATATAGTTTGTTAAAAATTGAACATTCAATCTGGGGCTATCCAAATGACCTGGGACTGTATTATTGTTCCCTGCCAGCTGGTGCACGGTGATGTAACCAAAAATGAGAAGACGTTTTCATTTCAGAAATTACCATGTTTTAAACAATGATTATAGGAAAACAAGAATTTAGTTCTTTATATGATATATGATACAATAAATCATGCTCAATGTGACCAGAGACAAAAAAAAAATTGATTTCAGGTTTAACAACTCAAGGCAATTTGAGACAAGTGTTTGATGGTTTAAAGTGGAATTCCACCAATTTTTCAAAGTTTTTGCCTAATTATATTAAGATCTATATTAAGTCATTCAGAGTGGTTTCATATTAAACTTGCTAAGTCAGAATTAACATAAGTTGGTATGTTTCTCTACAATGATTCATCTACAGTAAATGAATTATGCACAGGTTTTTTTTTAAAAATCAGTGGCATTCCCCTTTAAGCATGCTGTTTGCACAATGCTAATTAAACATTAAAAGCTTCTGTTACCTGTTAGCTATGTTAGCTGTATAATAGGGGTGTATAAAACTAACTTTGGCAAACTTCAGACATAAAATGTATCTTGGCTTGGAGTCAATTTTTTTTTAACTATTCCTGTAATGCTTAGTTTGACCTGTCTAACACAATGTGTTTTTTTCCTTTTGTTAAACAGATATACCATTGCTGAAGGAGGCCTGAGAGCACATGCAGTGTCCTCCTCTCTGTGGATGATGACCAGGACTGTGGCTCTTTAAGCTTTTTACCAAACCCTTCCCCCACTGCTGCCCTACAGAATGCAGGAATAACCAAATGCCTGTCAGTTGCCCTTTGACTGTACACTCTCTGGCCCTGGTATTTGAGCTGTGATTTACTGGTCATGTACAGGGGTGCCCAGATATGCTCCCTCAAATTGTTGCAGAGATGCTATATAAAACCTAGGATTATGTATATTGCATACATAATATGAGCTGAATAACATAACTCAGTTGTAAACTACACCTTTTCCCAATGGTGTACTAATAAGCAGTTGCACTCACAAAGGCTTACCTTGTCACAGTCGTAAGGAATTGCTAATTATGAATGCATTCAATTTCTATGCTATGTAAGAGGTGGTGAATGGAGCTTTGTTCCATTACTGACTGTGACCTCTTACGAAGGGGTTTGTTTCGCAAAGATATGCTAGATCAGACCCTTATCATTTTTAAAATGCTGCATGTTATTTGCATCTTTTTCATCTCAACCCACCTCCACCCCAAAAAGAAAAAATTTGCGCACACCACAGAAAACGCATGACAACACACGTCATCTCCACGCTCAATGGTAAGACACAGGGATGAACTGGTTTACATAGTACTGTATTCCAAAACACGCTTGCCTTTTTTGTTTGTATTTAGCTTCATCCTACCGGTTGGACTGTTGTTGTTGAAGGGCGCTCCAAAGTGACTAGTCTTATTTCCATTTTCCTATTAACTCAACATAGGACATTTATTTTTTACCGTCTGTTTTTGGAATGGGTGTCCTCAAACCAAGATGTCTTTAGTTTGTTTGCTTTTAAGTGTTTTTTGAATATTTCATTTCTGTCTGATTTAGGGAATTAAATTAAACTTAGGGAATTAAATTAAACACGATTGCACCTTCACAATACTAAATCTAGCAAGACTAGGTCATCTGGACCCAGAATCCTGAAGAAAAAATATAGAGCAGAGCTGCATCTGTCTTGCAGGCAGGTTTTGTATCCCACCCTCAAACTGTACACTGTAAATCCAAATGTTTTTTATAACACCATGTTAACATCATTGTTGAAGAAGAGAATAAACACCTGGGGCAGCTTCCTGAACCCAGATTAAGTTTAAGGCTAGAGTAAAAAGAAGTTCCAGTTATGAATCACCATTGACTCATTAATTATGTCCACAACTAGGATTAATCCATGTCGGGGGAAAATTGACCCAGTCAAGCCTTCCCCAGTTTGTTTAATGATGATTAATTGTTTTTATATTAAAATTGCCATTTGAGTGCAATTTTTATATAACTAGAGATGCATTTTTAATTATATCTTAAATTATTCAATGTTGTCCTAACAAATTTGTACCTTATAAATTGGCAGTCTGGCACACAACATTCAGCATTTCAGCCTGAAGTCTGAAAAAATGGATGTACTGGTCTTGGTCTTCTTGTCATTTTACTTATGTTTATTTTGCTTTCCTGTATCCTTACATTATAATTGAATTACACTTGCCTGCCTCTAAAACGACTTCTGATTTTTGATTGTCACCATGCAGCAGCGGGGTGGGAAAAATAATATAACCAATAATATCATGTTTCATCTTTTTCTTCTACCACCCTCCCCCATCATTGAGAGGAAACTCTCATCTAGCTCAGAGACCCTCACTGATGCAGTGTTTCACTCAGAAAGTACATTATGATTTCCATGTCATGATTAAAATCTAAACCTTTGGATTTACAGTGTAGTGTATACAAAGCACCTCATGGAGCTTGCTTGTAATTCACTCACATTTAGCAACCTGAAGATTCTCCACAAGGGGGTGCCATTAGCAGTCAAATAGCTTTTGATGCTTCATAAGTTCTTCACATCAATAACAGTGTCCCCTTGTTTCTTTGTGACCATTTACCACTGATCCACACCATGTGGATTACCATATGATTCACGGGTGATGAACTTGTCTGAAATCATGCGTCCTAATATTTTCTTTCAGTTTTACCTGGTTTCAGAAGGGCAACAGTTTGTGTGAAGTGTGAATGGACATCCTCCAGTTTCCTGGCTCTTTTCTTTTAAACATATTTGCTGTTTTTTGTCAAAATGTCTAACTGAAGACAAAACAGAGCTGTCGCCTTAAGACTTTTCATAAATTACATTTCATAATCTTGTAATCATGTTTCTTCCGTCTCACGTGCTTCACAGTATTGATAATGTCTTCAGTTTCCTTATGGCCTTACTTTTTATTTTCTATGCATAAACACTGTTTTGTGGGTTTTCAGAGGTATAGGGTTCTCTTTATTTTCACAGGACATGACAACAAGAATGTCCATTCTTTCTCCCCTAAAGCTTTTCTTTGTGACTGTAATAGCTGTAATATCTACATCACAGCATCTAAGTTCTAATTTCTGTTTTTGCAACTGCTGTACTTTATAAAGAGAAGTCCTTGTTTTGTCCCTCAGCACCATTGAATGGTGTTTGCCATCTCATTTTCCCCTTTTCAGCTGTTTTGTTTTTTCTCCTCTGTACATTGCAGTGGGTGTGAAGATAGTATTTTAATATTTGTATAAAGTTTAATTTAATTCTACAGTGTGTGTATATAACTATTTCTAATTAAAGCTTTCTTTTGAAGTGCCTTGGTTGCCATGACTGATTTTTCTGTTTGTTTTTTTTTTTCACATCAAGATTGACTTAAGGACCCTAGTATCATGCAGTTAGTCATTTAAGATTGGAGTGAATCTTGTATTTTTGGTGTGGTGTTCACCAAAAAAAGAAAAAAAAAATCTGGTGCCTTCATGTCATCTAGTGGCTACTGCTGGTAGTGATGTGTTCAGGCTGTTTAGGCAACTAAATATTAAAGGCAAGTTTAAAATTAATCACTTACACTTGCAAGTACATAAAATTTCTACATACATGATGCTGCTCATCACAAAATCCCAGAATATCATTGGGCCTCATTCACCAAAGGAGAAATTTCTTCTTAAAATGCTTTTATGCAGTTTTCATGAATATTTGTTCTTGGGTAAGAACAGAATATACCCACACTCAAGAGCACAAAAGTGCAAACAATTCTGTGGTTTAAGAACACGTCGTGAATCTGACGTAGACTTTTCTAAGAGCCTTTCTCAGCAACAAATTTACGAAGTAATTTAGGAAGATATTGGTGAATGAGGCCCAACGTGTCTAACACAGATGCCGCTGGCAACCCACTCATGTCCAACTAAATTTAGTAAATCAAACAGAAAATGATGCAGATTAATATTATTATTGGCCTGAAGTGATTTTGCATATGTATACCTTAGATGGACATCTAACAGAACCCATTTGACCCATTTTTTACATTTAATTTGCATACTTTCATTCACAAACAAATGTGGGTTTTCTAGTTTGTTAAAAATCTGTATGTGACCAAATGATACATGAATAAAACTCAAATTTTAGCCATATGAATGGATTGATTTAAAAAATGTCCTACAGTTCTCTTTAAGCAAGCTTGGAGAACACACACAAAAGGAAATGTAAAACTTTAGACATGGACATTAACACCTTTCAAAAATGTGTAGTGATGCTATAAGAAACATTTTTCTGTAGTGCTGTATAATATTTCTTAGAACATTTCTAATTCCTGTAGTTTTCCTGTAGTTCTGTCTTATTGTAATCTATAGGCCTATTATTCATTTACAAAAAGATGCTAATACTATGGTTCTTCAGATTGAAGGAGAATGTGTTTGGTTCTATAGAACCATTTTGAAAATTGTTCCAAGCTTGACATTGTAACAATAGCAGAACCCTTTTTTGCTACATAGAACCATTTACGACAATCTGAAGAACTATTTCACCATACAAAATGAAATGGTTCTAAATAGAACCATTCCCACTAAAGAACCCTGAAAAAAACATATTTTTTAAGTAAGTCTCATACTGAAAATAAACGTACGTCAAGAGTGCTTATTAATCTCATATCATGAAAAAAAGGCCAAAGAATATTTAATTTATTTTGCTCAGCATTTGAAACACATTTTTCTAATGAAACAATACACGTCATTGTCTTTTCCAAATGGGGCTCTTATAAAGGACGCTTTACTTTCGGTTAAAATGTATTTTGCCTTTACTTTGCACACATATTTGTGAATATAAGATAAACTCGTCGTTATTTCGTTCCTCCTTGAAAGCTGCTCACTAATCGCTAGAGGACGGTCTCTCCGCTGCTGTGTTACACACTAACGCCATTTTGTGAAACGTCGCTGATTAGCAGCTGAGCACAGACGCTGGAGTTAGAGGACTAGTGAAGGTAAGTTAAGGTTTTTCAGTTTTTAGGACATCTAAAACAGGAATTATGTTGTTTAAATATCTTATTTGTGTAGTGTTGCCTTTAATACGGCTTTATCGGTTGTACACTCGTCGGTTTTGTGCTTCTGCAGGCTTGCAGGCTAACAGGCCTGCTAACGTTAGTAGTTAGCTAAGCTAGCTGGCTAAGTTACTCGGGTTCATGAACGTAAACACGCCTTTGTGTTTTCACAAATTCATTCCTCTTTTTTCGTTTCTCTTGTTGCGGTTTTTATTGCCACTCAAGTTACGAAGACTACGACTACACAGTATAGACAAGGTTGAAGTTGTTTTCTTATTCGAATTTCCCGTTCCACCTTAAATGGCGCTAGAAGGTAACTGCCGCACCATTTAAGGTGGAACGGGAAATTCGAATAAAAGGCCAGTGTCAGCTGTGTACCATATGGCCTGTTTAATATCTGCGTAGTTAATACTAGCTAATAATACTAGGTTATGCCACCCAGGTTAGCTGATATAATGCAGAGTAGTCAGATGTTTTGTTTTTTTTCTGTGCGTTTAACGTTATAGGCCTCCTTAAAACCGTGAACCATGAGCGGGTGTCGCATTTTCATCGGCCGGTTGAACCCCTCCGCCAGAGAGAAGGATGTTGAGCGCTTCTTCAAGGGCTACGGAAGGATCCGAGACATCGACCTGAAAAGAGGCTTTGGATTTGTGGTGAGCTCATTCTTGCATCTCTCATGAGTAGCTGTAATACAAAATGCAGTGGTCACTTCATGCCAGGCCAGTTCAGGCCATGTAGGTTAGGTCAGGATGCTGGCCATTGCATTGCAGTGGGTGTAAAGAGGGTGGTTTAAAGAACCCATATTCTATTAATTTCCTTTTTTCTTTTATGTTTTTTGTCCATTTGTTGATATTTATGCAGGGGTGGGCGATATGGCAAAATTATATTGCGATACTTAAAGGCATTTTCAAGATACACAGTATGCATCACAATATTTAGTTTTACTAACTATAAGGAATATTTGAAGTATAACTAAGTTAACCCAACGTGTTTGTTCTGTCTCTTACACGTAGGAGTTTGATGATCCAAGAGATGCAGAGGATGCGGTGTATGAGCTTAATGGAAAAGAGCTGTGCAATGAGAGGTAGATTGTTTCTATACTCATTTCTGTTGGCTTTTGGGTCTCTCTTAGATTATATCCTGGGGTAAACCCATCATGATAAAGGTCGAAACCTGAGATAATCAGGTAATGTCCCAGGAATCACTGTAGTCTGTTTATATGCAGGGTTACTATAGAACATGCCCGCGTCCGCTTGCGTGGGGGTAGGGGTCGAGGAGGTGGAGGACGCTTCCCGGATCGTTATGGCCGTGGATCGCAGGATAGCCGGAGGTAGGCATTAACTGTTAATAAATCTATGTTTTTGAGTGTTTTTTCTATGTTTTCATATGGCATACAAAAAAAAACAGGCATTTATGCTGTGTGCAGCTGTGAGAGTTTTTTATATGTTGTTCCTCTCAGGAATCCCCCTCCTATGCGTACTGAGAACCGCCTGATTGTAGAAAACCTTTCATCAAGAGTGAGCTGGCAGGTGAGTGTCCAGTGCTTCAGTCTGTCAGGTGTTGGTGGCTATGTACTTAAGAGTGGTAAAATTGAGCTGAATTTGTAGTACTCCTCTTTTGATTGAGACGTAATTTAAGTCATTTAAATTAAAGGCAAAACAGTACAGGCAAAGAGTTTGCATCAGACCTCCCAAAATCGTATTTTTAAAAACTTTTAAGCTCTTTTAACAAACCTTTTATTCATTAATGAAACTAGTAGAGATGGAAAAAAGAGATCAAGAACTAGACCATAGTAACTTTCCTGTTTTAACCAATTGTTCACCCCTTTATTTGCCAGCCTGATCGTTGTGTCGTATGGAAGAGCTCGCTAATGGTGGCCCTAAGCCCTTCAGGGTCCCTCTCTCTGGGTTGAGCCTGAGCCCTTCTTGGCGGCCCGTGTGGTCCTCTCCTAGTTGATTCCTGCTGGTGTGTGAAAACTCGCTGGGGGGGCACGTTCCTCTCGCTCTTAGACGCATTTGCTGCCGCTTCATGGCGGAAGTGGGACGGAGCCGTGCTGAAAGAGAGAGCCAGAGAGCGAAACAGAGAGAGGGGCAGAGAGAGCAGAAAGGGAAAGGGACAGAGCGGGTCTGTGGCGTATTCGATCGAGGGGGTTCGGTAATTTGAGAGGCTTCGGTCGGTTTCCTCCCCCACCCCGCTCTCACGTGGCCCAGGAGTTAAGCTGCGGTGCGAGGTTTTGGTCTGGGACAGACCCAGTGGCCACACTCCCAGGTATCAGTCCACTCTCTTCCTCCCTGTTCACTCTCAGCGCCCTCGCAGGGGCACACGGGGCGGGATTGGCAGGGGGAATCCCTTTGCCCTACCGCCTACAACATGGGGGGCTTTCTTTGTTGTTTTCTTTTAATCTTTTTCAACAAGCCGTTCCACACAGATCTTATGCTGGTCTGGTTTATGTACTGACTGGGTCCAAGAATGTCAAAGCAATGCTGTTGACAGTAGGCCTATCACAGTTATTACATAATCAACAGATTGCGATTGTTTAAACTGAGTGCAGTTTTTTTTTTTTCACACTTATTAGTTTTTACAATCAAATGTTTTGTCACAAAAAACAGAATTTGCATTTCCATCAGTTGAATTGAGACACATTCATGTGAATGAATGAAAGCAATAAAGACATTTATTGAGGGTCTTATGAAAACTAAGGTTCTACCTTCTGAATGGTGCCGTAACACCTTTAGAGGGCAGCGGTGAGTAATGTTTGTTTATTTTAGCAGTAGTTGTGTCTGTGGTCAGTTGGCAGCTACTGAGTAGCTAGGGAACAAAATAGCCAGTTGGCCAGTTTGGAAACCTCAGGTTTGTATGTTACAGTTGCATCCCTACCTATAATCTCTCTCTCGCTCTCTCCCTCTGGAGTCACATACACACATTAGGAAGAAATTGTACAACAGATTTATCCTTTTGAAACTCCTCTGAGGTTTTGAACATTTAATGAAAGTGGCCAAGTGTTTTTTTTTCATGAAATGAATCCATTACTGCTAAACTATAAAGGCTTCCATTTCTAATCTATGTTGTATGCCCTAACTAACAATATACTTCCACTACACTAGAGTGTAAAAGGTATGTAAGGAAACTCTTCCAGGTCTTTTGTATTTTAGCTCTTAAGCTGTATTCATGCACAAGGTTTAGATCTGTGCTTAGAGATTCTTGGACCCTGTCTGCTGTGGTTGAACTAGGATTCAATTATCCTTAGCCATGTTTTCATTAGTATATTATGGCTTCACTGTGGTTTTGATACCTACCTATTCTAACTGGAATGCTCTTTCACTGTGTAGGACCTGAAGGATTTCATGAGGCAGGCGGGGGAGGTAACTTTTGCAGATGCTCATCGGCCAAAGCTCAATGAAGGGTGAACCTGTTTATATGTTATTCTCTCTGTATTTCTTTTTTTAAAAATGTTGTTTTCTGTGTTTGCAATAGAAAATAAAATGAATTGTACATGCCTTTATGTGTATCAGAAATTCTTTTTAAATTTGGGATGTTTTCATTTAGAAAATAAAAATAAGCTACTGTGAGTAGTTCTGTCATTACAGGCAGATGCAAAAGAGTCTAGGTAATGGAGAGAGTTGCCAGTGTCCAGAAAGTTTAACTGTCCTTTTAAATTCTGTTATTTGTGATCTGTGCTCCACAGCGTGGTCGAGTTTGCCTCCCACAGTGATCTGAAAAATGCTCTTGAGAAACTGTCTGGGAAAGAAATCAATGGAAGGAAGATCAAGCTCATTGAAGCAGCCAGGAAAAAGTGAGTTTTTCTTATTTTTAACTGTTCACAACAGTAGAATGAACTCAGTTTTTTGGCATTTCCCAACAGGTCCATTTTTTCAGTGTTTTGTCATATGCTATATCAGTACTCAGCTTATGTACCGTTCCATTTACTGCTGTGGTCAGATAACTTGCTGAGGGAATGAATGAACAGAGGAATTTCTGTTTGTTTTGTTTGGTGTGAGCTGTTAAGGGAGGTACCATTATTCTATTTTGCACTATTTCCTAGTCATTCTTCCCCAAACCTACTGCGTCCATAGCTCATTGCATTTGTATTGGAATTTTTAAAATGTCACGACTGGGAAAACATCAGTTTGTCTGCTTGAAGAGGCTGTATAATGTAAGCCTGATTTTTCCTTGTCTTTCGGAAACTTAACTTGTAAAAAATTTCGATTAATTATTCCTGTGATATAGGGCTGGGTGATAAAACGATAACGATAAGTATCGCGATATAACTTTTCCTCAATAGAGCGATAAGACATGTTTGATAAATGTTCGATATAATATATGGTGTACATTCTCACACTTCCACGTTTTAGCGAAAGCCCCGGTGGCGTTTTCTACTGCAAGGAAAGCGACACTACTCTGCTGTCGCCAGGAGAGGGCGCACTTCCGAAATTTTCGACTTGATTAGAGAGGGAGGGGGCCACGAGTAAAAAAAAAGGGGTCGCCAAATATACTTTAGCAACAGCTGAAGCGCGGAGTTATACAGTCCCTGTTTGAGCGGAGCGACCGGCGATCTGTTCTCCTGTGACCGAGTGACGAGGTCAGTGGTGTAACTGTACTGTCCTACAGCGAACTCACCTCTTTCCGTGCATCCTAACAACTTTAGCGGTGTTAAATCACGTCTGCAGCGCCGTGTTACAGCGCCAAACCGTCATATTTTAGTATTAGTGCATTCTCGAGCAACGAAAGTGAAAGAAAGAAGTGGGTTCATGTTTGAAAGTAAACTGGGGAAGCTGTGAGGCATTGGAGAGCGGGAGAGCGCTGTCTTTCCAGGCTAGCTGTTTTTAGCAGCTGGCTAACTTGAAGCAGCGCTTCGGCAAAACACAGTGAATTGATGATACGGTAGATCAAACAAGACACCGCTTTCAGTTTAAACATACCTAAAAGGAGGACTCTGTGACTGGTGTGAGAGATTCATACTGCAGATAATGCTTTTACACAGCGAATGTCAGATATACTGCGGTTCACCCCTTAAACTACTACAGTAGCATAGAGAAACCCAGTCGTCGCTAGCTGGTGTCTGAATACTGTGATACGCTCTGAAATGGATGTGGTTGGAGTGACAGCAGTGACCTACCGAACCGAGTTGACGTTGTTGAGAAACTAAAGAGTTTAGCACTGTTGTTGGCCACTTGTTTAGCATTTGTAACGGGGTAGCCAGTGCTCAATAATCTGTTTTCTTTCTTAAATCATGACTATTACAAAAATTGCAGCTGTGCTTTTCCAGCTAATAAAAACAGCTCAGAAACTTTCTCCCACTCTTCCATGACAGATTAGTGAAATGTTCCACTGTTTGCCGAGTGTTTGTCATGATCCGACCATAAGTGATAGTTTAAAACCACAATTAACCACCCAGGAGCGAAATCAGCCTTCAAACGTGAAAGAAATCATGATTTGACATTTATCGTGATATGTATCGATATCGGACGATATGAATTTTGTTTATCGTGATAACGTTTTTGGCCATATCGCCCAGCTCTACTGTGATATCACAACCATGTAGACATTATATATGAGCTCTTATTCAGTCTACAGCAGTTCAGCTGCTCTTGCACTTTTAAATGATAAGGAATGTTGTTACTGCAGACAGTGTGTAACAGTGAGCCTGTCACGAACAGTTTAGCTGGCGATTAATTGTTGTATAAATAATTGCAGTTAATTATTTAATCGTCTGTTTTTTATGCAACTAATGAAGTCTAAAGCAGCTATATTGGCTTACTACTGTCTTGCTTAGGTAGCTCTTTACTTTGCAGCTAATAAGAGATGATGCACTGCTCTGTACTGTTTGCAACAAGTGTCTGTAATTACATGGTCAACCAAAGCTCACATTTTTGAATTGAGGTTGTGAAAATGTGAGGGGAAAAGAGCTTACTCTGCAAGCATGCGTTCTAAAATTAGCATTAGATGTACTAGGTATTACAAAACAAACATTCCCCCTAAACATGTTACAGCACACAGTTAAAGTTAGAACTTTGTTAGAAAAAGAAAAGTCAGGAGAAATAAGTGATTCCTTTTATTTAAATTTATTTGGCTTAAATCAACTAATGAAAACACATCTGGCTCAGATTCTGCCTGTTGTGATACCATATGATTTGTGAAATATGACTGCGGGAAATAATTGCGATCAGATAAAAAAAAATTACGATTATTTAAAACAATTGCCGCCAGGTCATTATGTAATAATTGTGAGAGGCCTGTTTAGCAGAGTTATAGGAGTGGAAGATATAGGACAAATTCTTAACGTTGTACTGTTTCTGGCTGTCAGGAAGCAAACGGATCCACACAGCCAAAACTGAGTGGCTGAAGTTTGTTTGAATGAAATCCTCCTACCACTGAGGATTTCATTTAAACTCAGTATTTCAGCATTTCAGGTCATACTTTTTTGAATGAGGAGAAATACAGGGCAGTCAATCAGAACAAATGTCCTTGCACAGTAACTAAAACAAGTTTGTTTAATGTTAAAGAATAAAGAGAGAGAAAAGGGGCATGTAAAAATGAATTATGTCTCTTTTTGGTAAGAGGAATCCCACAGATTTTTAAAATAATTTCTCCAGAATTCAGTGTAAATAAAAAGTAAACCAAGTCATTTAGAGTGTTTAGATGTCTAATGGTTCATTGTAGAGAAGCTGACTTGACTCTTATTTTACAGTGGAGGTGACGACAACCTTTGCTCATTGCCATTTTATTTACAATATTTGTTGGTCCAGTGTGACCAGTGAACCTGCACGTCTTCTGATTTTTTTTATGTGTAATGTTGATGATAAAGTAGTAGTAAATCTGAAAAACTTTGGAAGACTCTTTTGCCTCACAGCACCCTGTATGTATCTCTCCACCTTGATTTAGATTACAAATGTATCATAAAACAATTTCACACATCAGGCAGCGTATTCCTAACCATTTCATGCAGTAATTTTGTGGTGTAACGTTAAAGACGTCTGGCTGCTATCACCACCACTGTGAATGATTCTGACTCAATAAGTTTCTCCAGAATACATCATCCCACATTAAACCACTCTGAATATTTGGTTTTTATCTTAAGCATTTAATTACACAAACATTTTGAAAAAGCAGTGTAATTCCCCTTTCATCACAAATTTTATGTGTAAAAAATATAAAAGGTAACCTTAAGCCCTTTTCCCCCCTCACTTGGCAGAAGTATACATGCAGTGCTTTTAACTCTGATGTTCTCCTGCTCTTTTCTCAGGTCCAGGAGTCGTTCCCGTTCCAACAGCTCATCCCGTTCCCGTTCTCGTAGCCGTTCTCCTTCCCGCAGCCCCAAAACCCACAAACGCTCCCGCAGCCGCTCCTCATCACCCTCTCCCTCCCCCGTCCAGAGAGCCAAAGAGACGAAGCGGGCGCGTACAGACTCTGGGTCACCACCAGCTCAGCGGGCCACAGCCTCGCGATCTCCCTCTACTGACAGCCGCCGCTAAAGCAACTCTGTCCATCCAGCTGAAGCTTTACTCTTTGGTCAGTCGCTGTCAGTCACTCTCTCGTGCCTGTTTTGCGTCTGTGTCAAACTGGCATTATAGTTCCTCTGAGCGGTGGAACAGTTTTTATCTTTACAGCCACAGATAGCAGCCGTGACCTCCAGCCTGAAGCCTGCTATTCCTTCACTCACTCTTCAGAGGTAGATTTGTGTCAGAGCTCTGGTTTTCTACTTTTCACAGTAAACGTTTGCTTTGCTTTCATGTGCTTTTGAGTGATGTCACATTTTCACCAGAATGAGAGCAGTGATATTTCTAGAAATATTGATAGGTAAGTACTGTTTTATATTAATTTGTGTTTTCTGGTCATTGTGTAAAAGTAATGGAAACGACCTTAATACTATTGTGAAACCTTACGTTCTTCATGTGAAGACTGTGGCTGTGTATAAGTTTGTTTTTTTGTTAATAAACAAAATTTTACTATCCACTTCATTGCAGGAGGACCATGTTTAACATAAAGTAGTACAATTTTAAAAGATGTTTCTAACAGTTATGTTGAAGCTGTAATGCTGTGTTTTTATTTTAGCATCAAGACAGGCATTGGCATAGAGGGGTTTTATGCATGCCTCTTCACATTTGAATTACAAGAATACATGAATTTGATTTTATGTATTACTACATGAATAAAACATAAAAATTCTAATACTGTTCTGCTGTTACCATCATTTCAAGTACAGAATTGTCACAGTTGCAACATGAAATGGAAAAATTACAGAACAGTTCACCAACAGAAAATGTACTCCAGGTAATGCTTAAGAAAATGTGCTTTTCAAAAAGGAAAACAGAAATCAATTCATGTTTAAAATCATTTTGGTCTTCAACTTTCAGATGAGGTCATCTCTTCAGCACAGACTGATTTAAAGCTGAACTATTATGAGGCTGGACCTTACATCATAGACCTTACATCATTAAGATCCTTAAAGGAGCTCTCAGGTCAGAATGAAAAATCTTGTAGTGAGAGAATACTGATGAAAAAAAAAGGGAAAAAAAAAAACATGAATTCTGCTAAACTAATGATTCTGAGGGATGCAGAATACAGCGCAACATGACAACATATTAAATGTTAGTTGTAGGCCAGAATTCACCCTTTAAACAGCAGATAGTCTTGTGACTTGTTGGTCATTGTGTTGTCTTCACTGTTGGTGGAATGACGGGTATTATTTTGGCTTTAAATGACATCACTATATATTGACTATAGAAGTTTACACTTAGAGTTTCAACCCATATTTTATTAATCAGTAATAGTACACTATGAATCATGTGGGTCTATTTGAGGAATACTGTTGACCATACAATGTGGATCTACAAAAGCCAACTAGTTTAAATGCAGATGTCAGCAGGCCAATGTTTACGCCAGTTTTGACGTAGACCTACGTCAGTCCATTTCCTCAATCCTCATTTCCACACCAAGAATCTTGTCACACCAGATTGTCAAGCTTTTGGCCTTTGAAGACGAAGGAATGCTCCAGCATATTTCAACCTAATCTCTATCTGTTGCATTTGTGGCATCAAATACCACCGACAATAATTTCTAAACCTTTTAATGTGTTTAGGAAACAACAGAAAAAAACATTGACTCAAAACACATTTACAGTAGAAGCTAATGAACAGGTGCTTTTATATTAGTTTTGACTCAGTAATGTCAAAAACATATGAGGATTAGGATTAGGTTCTGGGTTGAGGTTAAGGCTAGGGTTAGGATTAGGTTCTGGGTTGAGGTTAAGGCCAGGGCCAGGATATGGGTTTTGGGTACGGTTAGGTTCTGCATAATGGAAGTAACACACTAACAATGCATATACTTAATGTAAGTAATGTATCAACAGAACATCTACAAGATATTTACTTCAGTGTATTCAGATGCTTCACTACTATTACTTCACTGATATGTTGAAGTGTTACTGATACTCTGCTAAGAGTTTATTAATCATCTACAAAGGAGCTCCAAATTAAGTGTTACCACAAGCTTTTCTGTTCTTTTACAAGAAAATTGCTGTTTGTGCTACAGATAAAGAAAAATGTTGAACTATTCCTTAATAGTTCCAGGAATTCGGGATGAAATGTTTGTATGATACTAAAATTGAGTGTTATATTAAGCATCCAGCAAAGTTTGAATAAAAAAAAGAACAAGATACAAGTATAATAAAATGTGGCTTAAAAACACTAGTCAGAGCTATCTGAGATCTGTCTGGGCGTGCCTAATATTCTAATGAGTATGACTGATTAAGATCTATCAGTCCAGCACAAACGAGGTGGAGAGAAATAAGTGAAATGGGCTCTACATAAATAGGTCATGCTGAAATTGCCTCTGTGTCCACTTACTAAAATTAGTGGGCCTCATTCACCAACCGTTCTTAAAAAGAAATTTCTTCTTAAAACCCACTTAAGCTTTTACAAAGATTCTGACATTCACCAATGTTTTTTATTGATGATTTTTTCTTTGCTTAGAACAGAATCTAAACACATTTAAGAGCACAAAGGTGCGAACACTTTTAGGAACGTCATAAATTTGGCGTAAACTTTTTCTCAAGAACAAATTTAAGAAAAAACTTTATAATATTGGTGAACGAGGCTCATGGTTTCAAGGAAAAAATAGCACCGGCCTTTGGCAACCTGTGTGTCTTTGGCTGGTATATTTGTGAGTCATTTGTCTTTGTGTCAGGTTTTTACTCAAGGTCTTGGAGGCCCTGGTGATACAGCACTTTTTCCTTTGAAGATTTCAGCCTCTCATGGCATCTGAAGATGATGATGAAGACCAACGCCTCGGACACTTGGAAGACGATGTAGACGAAGGGAAAGAGGTAGAACGGCCCGATGACCTCAGGCGGAAAAGCCACCTTTAGGATGGTGGAACACAGTTGGAGGTTCTGGCAACCTGTTTCCATGGCAACAGTCCTCCTAGAACTTAAAGTTAAAACAAGAAAGATTAGCAAGCTCTGAAAGTGGATATTGGCATGTTGTTATTGAGTATTATATTGTGAAAATATCACACATCTGTCTGAAAATGGCCTTCTGACATGCCTTCAGCAGAGCTGTTAAAGAGTGTTAGAGACTGCTTGACTCAGAGCTACAGTGTTTGAACAATTTGATGAAGCATCCGTTAAACAAGACCATACTTGGTTGCTTGCGGAACAGCTCAGCTATACATGCTAATGTATTTAAAAATGAATTGAAGATTATAACCACCATTTAGCATGATGTAATGACCATCAGCGACCGATTTAAACACGTTCAACATGTATTTTCCCTAAATCTAAAAAACTTGGTCCAGTTGTACTTCTAAATATCATTGTTTATTAAAGAATCAGATTTTTATAAAAGAGAAAAAGAAGGGTACACACTGTGTCATCCAGTGGGCTTAAATGTTAAAGGTTTTTCAGTCAATGACCTGCAGACCTGGTATCATGTAACATCTCTAGATCAGAACTGAAACATTTACTTTAATATTTTTAAATATAAGCTATACAACAGGAGATTTAAAAAGCCTCATTTAGAAGTACCACTGCTAAAATGTTACAGTATTTCATTCACTTACGGCTCGTTAAGCTTGAAGAGAACAGACAGAACGTATCCGAGTACGTATCCGATCAGTGGCATCAGTGCTGCTGTGATCATGAGTGGAGGTGACGTCACCATGAGGATGGTACTGCCTAGTGTAATGCTGGCCAGAATACCAATGGCAGTAAAAGCCAACAGCAGTATACCCATCCCAACCTGAGATGACAGAAAACAGACTGACTAAACTGAACTCATCACCCTTCAGTTTTCAGACTTTATTGTGTGGTCCATCAATTTTTCCCTGCTTCATATGGAAAGCTAATCTATTTATTTATGTATTTATCTGTCAGAGACAATATAGTTAAACATAAAAAAGACAAAAACAGACAGTTTTATTAGGACAGTGGCGATACGTATCAGTACCACGCAAGTCCATGCAAACTCCAGTAATCTGTTTTTGTTTGTCATAAGCCATACAGTCGTGTTGCCCACCTTGGTGATGATTTTGGCGTGCTGCGGTGCTTTGTAGTTGATGAAGATGCCGATGGCGCAGGGCAGCAGGGTCATGACCAAGCTGATGGTGATGCCGGTGTAGGGCACAGCGGCCTCCAGACCGGAGAAGCCCCGGCAGTAAAGGTAGAGGAGTAGGGGCATCATGCCGAGCGCCAACACAGTAGAGCAGGTGGTCATCACAATACTGAGACAGAAAGAGATCACAAACAAATGTGATGCAACAGAGTCACACTGATTTGAGCTGTGAAGAAAATTGTCCCATATAAGATGGAACAGCATTGCTTTAATAGGCTTCTCACTTCATGTGAACGCCTGCAGCGTCATATAATTATAGCACACAAGAGTAGCAGTTTATGTTGTGAGGTCAGTGCCAAAGTCAGTGCTTCCTACTGATAGCATAAGTGTGATTATCAAATTGGTCAGCGCATTATGTAGAGCTACAGCATATCAAGTCTTATGCAAAAGTTTGGACACCCCTGGTCAAACAAAATGATTAACCCCACTAAGGCTTATTATTCAGTTACAACTACAGTGACTTCAGTGCAAACTGGCTGAGCTATTCTTAGGTTATAGAAGTGTGTAGTAAACCTTTAGGCCTGCCGATGGGCCCTGGCCATTTAAGGGGTTAACACTCCCTCTTCAGGGAACACACTTCTGCACATTAAAGCACAATTAAAGTTTATTTGCTGAATTTAAGGCACTGGGAGGAAAATGTAAAAGGTTTGTGCACATACCACATTTTATGTTCTGTTTATTTTCAATATTGTCAATATTAACTTATTTTTACTTACAAAATCGACAAAATGTAATGGTGACACTTTATTTTGAGTGTTTTTTTTATATGAAACAAACACTCAACGGACTCTCAATTACATGTTAAAAAATTATGAGGGTTATTGTTAGGTTTTGGGTAAGGTTGGGTAAGGTTAGGTTCTGTGTAATGGAAGAAACATATTAACAATACATCCACTTAATGTAAGTAATGTATCAACAGAACATCTACAAGATATTTGCTTCACTGCATTCAGATGCTTCACTACTGCTACTTCACTGATATGTGTTTGATGTGTTACTGAATATCTGTTAAGAGTTTATTAATCATCTATAAAGGACCACTCCAACTAAAGTGTTACTGCACTAGTAATATTATGCTATAGAGGACATTTCAGCTTGAAACATTTTTGATCAGTTAAGGCATATAGATCTTTTGCTTTGAACATAGTCACAAATACTTTTCTTAAAATTCATCATATCATGTGACGTGATCCTAACACTTAAAGTATCCACACTATTTTATGAGTCATTGTTTTTTAACTCACTCTGTGTACACTGGCTTATCATATAAGTCTCATAAATGATTTTAGGACACATGTTGAGCAAGACTTTGTGGTAAGCGATGTACATTTCAGGGACAGTCATGTCCATTATCCTAAAGACACACCTGTTCTTTTTAAAATCTTCTGATATCTATTGAAGGGGTGAATGACCAGACGGTTAAAAGTGTGAGAGGTAATATTTGTGATATGATAATTACATCAGCTTCTTATTATTATCAGGTTCATTATCAATTATCAGCAGACAAAAGGTCATTCAACTTACATTGTGTGTCTAATAGTTCACACTGAACAGTTACATGATTATACGTTTAAAGACAGATAATCATATCTGATTAACATCTAATATACACACATTGGCCACTTTATTAGGCACCTTCTCTTGTACATAATAGGCTGCCAACCCTTTTACAGTCAATTGTAAATTGTAATCTACATATTTCTGGCACAACTCAGAAGTCAGTTAGCTGTTTACACAGTTGTGCTGTGTTTTCTATGGCGTGTTCTGACTCCAAGGCAGGTCCTGTTTGTGTGTCTATACATGAATGCAAACACACATGCACAGAGGCCTACCAGCTGTGTCAGATATTACTCAGTGGATGTCACAAAATTTTCTACAACTAATTATGGAAAAACTGAAATACTGATCTCTAGTACTAAAACTCAGAGAAAATGTTTTATGAGAAGCTCAATGTTTTAACGTTGTATACCAAACCTGAAGTAAAAAAAAAAACCTGGGTGAAAACTAAGATTCTGAGCTCAGAATCACGCAATAAACTTGTTAATGCATTTGTTACAAGCAGAGTTGATCACTGTAATGCTCTTCGTACTGCACTGGCTGAATCTGCTACTAGTTTTTAAGTGATCTAGCACCCATTTACATCACAGAAAGTCTCTGTTTATGTTCCAACACGTGATCTTAGATCTGCAGATACTGGCCTTCTGCAAATACCTTCAGTAAAATACAGAAAACATAGAGAGGCCTTGTTCAGTTATTATGCTTCTAAACTGTGGAAGTCACTTTCACTTTTTATTAGACAGTCAAGTTTAGTGCTCACTTTTAAGAAGCATCTAAAAACATATCTCTTTAATTTAGTGTTTAATTAAAACTTCACATCTTGGTGTTTATCTTTTTGAATTTGATCTGTGTCACTACCTTATATGATTTTAAATTAATACTTAAAGTTTCTTCTATTAATGTTAAGCTTCACAACCTGTCTGTAAAGCACTTTGAGCTGCCAGTGGTATTTAAAGTGCTCTATAAATTAAGATATTATTATTATATATACATTTCATTGCTGTCAGAATATCTTGTATATTGTTATCTTCAAAATGGTAATTTTACAGAAGAAGGAAAGAACATTCTTAATTTAAAATGTAAATAAACACAAAAAGTTGATTTTTGACTGTTTCTATTGGTTCATTCATTGTGAACATTTCACACAATGCAAAGGGCAGCTGGTGTTTACAGATTACTATGATGGAGATACAAAGTTTTGTTCCTACAGCTGACTGTGACTGTGAAGGCCATAGCACATACATGATTTACATGATTTTCACACTCATCACGCCCTGTGGATGAGGACACTGTCATCCTAGAAGAGGCCACCTGCATTAGGACAGAAATGGTCCATCATAAGATAAAGATGATCAGTCTGAATAACGTTCCTTCCCGCTAAGGGACTGATGGAACCAAACCATGTTAATAAAATACAACAGAATCACTGGACCCCTTCACTTCTGGGGTCAAGCATTCAGGGCTGCACCGTTCTCTTGGTGTGCACTGCACATTCAATTGTGGAGAATACAGTAAAGGATGACTCATCTGACCACACCACTTTTTTCTACATCTCTGTCGCCCAGTACCTGAGGTTCATGTCTCCCTTGAGTGCAAGGGCCAGGATGTTGGAGAGGTTTCCCCCCGGACAACAGCCACACACCAGCACTGCCACAGCCTCCATGGGGCCCAGCTGAAGCAGCTTGGCCAGAGAGAAGGCTGTGAGGGGCATAATGCCATACTGAGCCACCACAGCGATGGCCACTCCTTTGGGTTTACAGATATGGGCCTTTATCTTAGAGATCTCCATAGTGCAGCCCAGGGAAACCATGGTGATGAAGAGGACGACTACAGTGGCCAAGCTAATGGCCTTATCCATGATTTCAGACACATCTGAGGAAGCTGCAGAGGCGTTTATGAAGGTAAAGGTGCTTTGGTTAAAGTTGACCTCCATTATACGTCTGTTCTGGCTGGTTCTCTACACTGTAAAGCAAAGAGAGAGGAAAGACAGTCATAGAGATGGGATTAGTGACAACATATCCAGAATGTTTCTAATGTTTAGTTTTTACTTATTACAAGGAATAATTGACATTTATTCTACCCTTTAAATGTTTATAGTTGACTCGCTTTTTAAAATGTTTTAAATAAATTACCATGTTTTCTTTGTCATTCGTAAGAATTTAAATAGAAACCTGTTTAGATCTTGCAATTTTTGCAAAAAAAATGAAGGAACAACTGACAAAAGTAGGCTGCTACACTCTTAAAGAAGTTGGTTCTTCAAGGGTTCTTTAGTAAAGACAGTGGTTCTATATAGAACTATGAGCACACGAACCATTTGCATTTGAGTGTTCATGGTTCTATATAGAATCATTTTCTTTACTAAAGAACCTTTGAAGGACTATTTTTTTTTACGAGTGTAGTTTTTTCTTGCTTAAAGGGTAATTTCATTGATTTTTCAAAAAAAGAAGTGGTTGCAATGTCTACAACTACAGTACTGGCATTGTATTAACTATCCAAAATGACCAGTGAACCTACACACATCTTCTGAGCTTTTATGTTGTCACCTTCCAAAGAAAAACATGTATCTCCAAAATAGTTACTTTACAGGAGAAGGCAAAAATGTCCAAGAAGTCAGTTCAAAGAGGTTTCATTACAAGTGATTCTGAAGCATTTTGATTGGTCAGTTCATCATTAAATTTTCACACAAAATTGAATGTATGATATAACTCAACAAAATTTGAGATACAAGTTTTTTTTTTGGGACAGAGACAATAAGTAATGTTTGGTGAAATAGTGGTAAATCTGAAAAATAAAGTTACTATTTTGCCTTGCAATACTCTCAGTGTACCTCTTTGCCATGAATAGCAGATACATTTTAGGTCCAAATCTCTCTAAACTATCATAAAATAACGAAACAGGCAATTTGCAGCATATTTATAACCATTTCATCAAACAACTTTCTGTGAGGGAGCTTTTAGAGGCATTAAACTCTTTGGACACCCTTGAATTCCCTGAAAGATCTCATCAGACAAGGTGTCCCCAGAATTTTGATGCCTAATGTGTTAGAATTCATTAAAGATTTTCTCAGCTTTGAACAAAGCAGATCATTAATATGATTTACCACCAGTGCCATGTTTTCCATATTTCAAAGATTTCATTTTCATCACCAAATTTTTCTTCAACAGCATCTAACACAGTACTCTTGACAGAGCAAAGAAGTGAGACACAATTACCATCTAATTGCACACTGCAGCGTGATCATAATCATCACCAACTGTGCAATAATTAACAGCACATCACCAGTCAGCTCGCTGCGAGGAAAAAAAAGTGTAAGTCAAGCAGTAAACCTACCTGTGAGGCATGAACTGTCTGAGTAAGACAGTGTCTCTCTCTCTTTTCATCTCCTTTGTTTTTTAAGGCGAGCTTAGCAAGTTCTTCTGTCACGTGGGGTTGTGGTTGTACAGATTTTTGCCAACTGTGCCCATCATCTGACTCTGAGCTGCAGTTTGTGACTTAAAGCTGGCTAGTTTGGATTCAGTAGTGTAGATACTGAACCATGTTAAAAGAATAGTCTGATGTTTTTAACCTAATCCCTATCTGCTGCATATGGAGCACTTGACTAAATGCTATGGGCAGTCATATCCTTACAATTAGAAAATAACAAAAAACTAATACACCTTAAATGGCCAGAGCCCACCGGTGGGCCCATAGTTTTATTACACACTTCCGTAACCTAAGAATAGCCAGTTTGCATTGAAGTCCCTGTAGTTACAGAATAATAAGCCTTAGTTTATAATAAGCCTGGAGTTAAACACATTTATAACAGAAATGAAAGGGAACGTGTTCAAGTAACTTCCCATTGACCTCCACTGTATGTGTGTTCTGAGTCAGTGGGTTTTCTATTCTTTTCTTTTGAAATGATTGTTGGTAGTAATTGACCATACAGTGGTAATTGACCAGCGTTGAAAAATACTGGACTATTACTTCAACACCAGTCTTCTCCCCTTCTTGCTCCTTGTCCCATAGCTGATATCTATATGATTGCAACCTGTACATTTAGAAATCAGTTTACACAAAGGAATAAGGTAATGTTATGTTTATTTTGTGTTTACTTTTAGAAAAATCTGGGCCAGATCTGCTGTCAGCCTTTACAGCACATCAGGTTCTCTGGTGTGCCAAATCAAATCTTGCATCTCTCAGTAACCACATCCTACACAACACAGTGCGCAGCAAGTTTCAGAACAGCAGGCTGTGCTAAATAACATTTCATATAGAATAACATTTCCATGTAGATTATCTGAGTGTCATGGTTTGATCTGACTTGACCTACTGTCGTATGCTGGCATGGCAAATGAGCAATGTTGGATTTGCATTTTGCATTTTAAAAGACATTCAGTAACATTGCAATGAAAAACTCAAACTCCCAGAATATTGTGAATGTAAATTACATCTCCATGGAGGATATCTGTATATTTGTCACTACTTGATCTGATTTGACCCAACGTGTTATGCAAACAGACAATATGACAAGTTAGCAGTGCTGGAAAGAAGTAACTTGCTGTCAAATATCTAATTGTTTGCCAGTAAACTGTCTGTAAAGCATGCAGTTGTGTTACGGTGCACATCTCTAGGAACATATGCAGTTATCTATGCAATGGGTCAGGGTGTGCTCAATCCCAACATTACTGGTGTATCAGTTGTTAGCATTAACCCCTTAACATCTAAGTGTCCGTATGTGGACACACTTCAATTTCTCAGTTACATACAGTACTGGGCAAAAGAGACTACCCTTTATTAATCTAATTTCCTGTCAAAATGGCCATTTACTGGTACAATTTATTCATTTATCAAGAGATATTACTAAAGAGATTAGATGTAAGATAATCCACTTGCATAATGAAGAGGAACATCAAAGGAAAATGAATGAAAAACCAGGCGTTTTCAAAATTCATACCTGGATTGTGAGAAGAAAATGCAATGTTATGACGGAACTTTAAAGATGGGTAAAAATAGATTTCTTTGAAAAACTGAAATCAGGTCTCCTGAAAAGAATGGAAGACCAACAGTAAACACACTGAATACTATAAAAAAGGATATTATGTTTAGTTGTTGATGCATCTGTGTCATTTTCTGCTAAATATCTTTCATTTTTTTCCTGTCACTGAAAAATGAATAGCTTTCACTTGATGGCCATTTTGACCGGAAATAAAATAAATGAAGGAGGGTCTCTGAGGTTTCCAGGTTATAACATAGGTTGCTCTGAGGTTGCTGTGGTTATAACATAGTTAAAACTATATAAACGACATTTTAGTTTCATAGTAGTTAGAATGAATAACTAAATAATGATTATACAGTTGAAAGGAATTTTCCAGCATTCCTGAAAACTAATCTGCCACGTCTGCAGTTTACAGTTGATTATCTCAGACGGTAATTTCTCTGTACTAAGTAATGAATAGAAAACCTGATACACGCTTATAATAGAAGCCAAAGTGCACTTGCTTCAGCACCTGCTCATTGGCTTCCATTATAAGTGTGTTCTAAATGGGGTTTTCTGTTCTTTACTAAGTGCAGCAAAATGTGTCCGTGTTAATCAACCGCATGCTGCAGATATGGCAGGTAGAGATTAGCAGGCAAAAATGCCTTTAATGGGTTCAACATTTCATTTGAATCATAAGAATTAGATACAATTTTATCTATATAGCGCTTACTGGCCATGTCCCTTCATGCACACAAAGATGTTCAGTGTAAATAATGCATTTATCACACTTGTTCCACTGACTGGATGATCCTTCAGGTGCTGAGAGCTTTTACTGAACTAGCACCAGTGAGCTGGAATTCAATATAGGAAACTCTAAAGCTTCACTCACTGGTGCCGCAAGCACATTTTAAACTTTTAGTCTAACCACCTCCACTCAGCCTGCAACCGCTTTACTTTTTATTTACTTTATTATTGACAAGTTATTCTTTTACATCTTCTATTCTTTTATTTATTTCATTAATTGTGTTTTTTTTCTTTATTTTATCCTTATTTGATTAAGTTACTATATTGTTGCCATTTTAATGGTCTATTGATTTTTTTTTACTATTAAATTCAATATTATGATTATTTTTACTTTTCTTAGCATTTGATATGCTGTTGCAACCCAAATATTCAGTCCCTGTTTCCTGTATTGGCTCGGCTACATTGTGAATGAGGGTCTCCCTTAGTGTAGTCCGAGTTTAAGTAAAGGTTGATCTATTGAAAATTACATTTTCATAAGAATAAAGATTCAAAGTGGTTTGCAGTTTTATTACAGTCATTTCTAAATAGTTTCTCTGCTTTCAGTACATTCACCACTTCTGATAATAGATCATGAAATGTATTGATGAATGAAATGAATAATAAGGCAATTTTAACCGTTTATAGAAAGTAGAATAGATTAGGCGGAGGGCACTGTTACCTGGTGAGTAGAAGCTCCTGGCTGATTTTTCTGCTGAGATCCATTCAGAACAGATCACTATTTATGCGCATGCCCCGAGACCTGGCTGATTAGCAGAGTCATAAATATCTGTGATTTTGAACTCTTGGAACTGTGTCCTGTTCCTCTTATCAACAGCCTTGGCGCAGCGCTTGGGTAAGAGGTGTTTGAGGCACACAACAGGACAAGGCCATCTTTATCATCTCCCTCAAAACAGAACAAATTAATATTTATAACACGGTCATTTAAGTGCACTGGAACATTAGTGTTTGTTATAACAAGGGGATTACTCTCACTATCATTAATCACTATGACTCAGAACCCACAACAAACATCTTTATTGTCAATGTTATTCACATGTTACTGTGACTTGCTCAACCATCCATTACACTGGCATTTAGGCCAATAAATCGCTGCTATAATATACACTGGTACAAACCATTAACCACAGGTAATCCTTAGTAACATCCTTTATGGTTACTGGTTACTCTCATAAAAACTTTAACAAATGAAGTTTGTTTCAGGGAAAAACTCTTTTAGCACAACATCAAACTGATGGTGGACTCTTTGTGTGGAGAAAGCCTGGATTCGATGCCATACTGCCAGACTGCTCTAAGAGCTCTGTAAAGCGTAGAGGTGGAAACCTCAAAGCTGTCTTTCTTGTACAGGTGTAGAAAGACAATTTGGATGCAAAACTGAAGAAATCTGCTAAAACAGTGCTCAAACAATAACAACCTGCCTACTTTGTTTAACATCTTGTTTCCTAACACAATGAACATACCACATTTTTAAGTATGACATGTCCAAATACTTTTTGGGGCCACTGCAGCAATTCTTGAAAATTCACTATAGAATGCTGCAACAATAGTAAATTTACTTTAGTCAAATTTGTGCATCATTTGCATAAATAAATTACTCTGTGCTGTGAAAAAGTCAGAGACCTTACTTTTTTTTTTTGGTCATGTTCTTTTAATGTATAAAACTAGCATATGCTTAGCTGTTTTGCTAAATGGCACTGTGCTTGGATACGGATAGTTCAGTTCTAATTATTTCACATTTGTGATTGTTAGCAGCTCCTCTGCTAATCAGACAACAAGCTTGGACACGATGACATCAATAACCGAATAACTAGCTCTTTACCATACAGCGCATACAGTGACCCTGTACAGAGAAAGAGAGATATCCTGTGGCTGTGCAGAGCCCCCCTGAGGAGGGATGGGGGAAGGGTGCTGCTGGCGGTCTGCCTAAGTGTGTAATGCTGAGCTGCCACACACACACATGCTGTGTTACTTAGTGCTGTGACCTTCAACCTCTGCGTCACACTCCACCCCATCAATCCCCTTCTCTACAGACCCAGCACTCAGCCAACAGGAGACGTCACCCCGCAGTGCTGCAGTGATTTTGCTTGAAATTGTTTTATTTTATTTTTAAGTCATTTTATTTACTTTGACTACAGTGCACTGCAGTGTATTTACTTTCATATGTGTTTACTAGGCCTGTCCCATCATCAACCAAAACATACTACTTATTATTTTGTTAATTACAACAGTAACATAAACAAGCAATAGAAACCTATTTATAAACTTTAAGGAATTGATTCATTTTTTTTAAACCATTATTAATATCTTTTTTATTATACTGTATTTATTGTCATATGTGTTTTGTATATAACCAACATATTGTCAGAAAAAAAAAACAAATCTCCAAAATGGTAACTTTACAGGACAAGCCACAAACCTTCTTTACCTTTAATGGAAATTAAAAACTTGTAGAAGTAAATGTGGAACATTTTTATTGGTCCGTTGATCATGAAATTTTACCACGATTTAAAAGGCTGATGTAATGTTCATATTCAAGTGGAGGTGTATCAGGTCTGGGCGGGGCAGCGGACTCTTGTAGTTCATAGACTTGCCCTGCACCAGCCCCGTGAACAGGAGATCATGCCGGGCCAGGTGGAGCAGTTGCTTAAGGGGCCTCACCCCAAGGAGGAGCTGGAAGCACAATGGGTCGAGGGACGCAGACCCCCCATACCCCCACCCCCGGTGCTTGTGCCAGCCAGGGCTGTGAACATTCTGAGACCCCTGCTGTGGGAATACCACTGTGGGGGGCACCATCTTCCAGCGTACTTGAAGGACTTTGCAATGTGGGTCACTGGGACAGCTGACCTTTAAGAGGGGGGCTATGCGGTGTTCTGCCACTGAGATGAGCTTATGTGTTTTATGCAGGTTCAGTTAGTGTGGGTTAATGTTTACCATAAAGAGAAAGCATGTGGCTCGGAGTGACCTGCCCCTATTTCAGTTGTTTCTTTGAGTAGCTTTTCTGCCCTGTTCCTTTAATAAAGAGCATTTTAGAGTAGAAATTATGGCCTCACCACAATATACAAAGTAAGACAGCAACAATATAGCACTTATTATTCCATTGATTACAGTGATAATGTAAACAAAGTAATATAGACTTGCTTCCAGATTTTGATTTTGATTTTTGGTATTTATTCATTTGTTGGGGGGGTTGTGGGGTAACAGCTTTATTTAAAAAAGAATTTTTATTTTCAAGAAGCAAAACAAAATGAAAGAGCTGGTGAGCTTCTGAATGTCTTTTTATATATATGTATTTCTGTATAACTAAACTACTTTTGCTGAGCCAAATGCTAAAGGGTACTTTTACAGGTCATAGGCTTATTATCAGCTGGACCTTCTTAGCTAGAGGTCAGTATAGGTCTGTGTTAAGTACAGAATGCTAAATAAAGAACAGTTTCCATGGCTCATCAGTGCAAACTACATTATTTGAACCATTCCTTATTGCTGCTTTTGCACAAGCAGACTATAGTGTTACAAACCTCAGACGCTGTCCTGCACCACTAATATGGTGGCCAAAGGCCGGCTGCTGATGAGGGGTATGTTTGGGTAAATTCCCTCCAGCCCTCTGACCTTGTGGCCAAGCGGATGCGGCACTACACTTGTTTTTTTTAACCGATGAACTGATCCCACTCCAGCAGCTCATATAATCCACCATGTAAGCTCCTTATCTGCTGCACTATTTTGTGGAGGGGGGAAATATATTATTTGCCTTTATGTCAGGGGAACTGAGCTGCCGCGTTAACAACAGAGGTTATGGGATAGCCTATAAAAATCACTAATTTTTTATGGGCTGTGACTGAAGAGACACATACTCGCAGCAGCTAGCAGTAATTTATTCACAACAGAGAGAAAAGTCTCTTCTTTTCATGCATCACCCTGGATTTCCTCCAATTAAACTGCAGTGTTCTGTATGCACTGCTTTGTCCTTCATGTCATCTTATGCAGATGGCTATAATAAGAAGTGAGGCCCTGTAATTTGCTGACCAGAGGACACTTTTTTGGACAATGCACCATCATCAGATCTGTTCTGAAAAAAATGTTTTGTTTTGTTTTGTTTTTTTCTTTTCCCAAGAAACACTTTTGTTTGTCTCAGCAATCGCTCTGGCTACATGTTAGGATGTTTTTTTTCATTGCTGTTATTTAATACCTCCTTTTTTAATATCTTAAATAACCAAAATGTTGATTGTAACATAATACAGAAATTAATATGCTATGTAGACACATCTACATAGCTGACCAGTCTTAAGATTCTTAAATATTGGACCTGCGGAGAGCATATAAACAACCTCTGGGCCAGATATGCACCTGCACTTCACAAGAAATAGCTACTTTTATAAGACAACCTTAATATAATCCATTAAACAGTTATATACACAAGCTATATACAAGTATCATGTCGTCATTCTTCATGAACCTGTCCTACAGTTAAATAAAAACCTCAGCTTCTAACACTCCACGTGTCTTACAGCCCTTAAACCTGAGCTTCTTTTGGACTACAAATCCCACCCGCAAACGCGGCCAAACAACGACGCAAGGAAGCTGCTTTCTTGAAACGTTCCATGGGCGTTGTAGTTTCATCTTCTTGTTAACGCTATTGATCCGCAAAGCGGAAAGAACTACAAGTCCCACAATCCCGCGCGCGGCTGGCTGTAGTGTTAATGGTCCGCGTGTAGGCGAGTCACGCGCGGCGGAGTTTCGGCCGTTGGTCTTCGCTGCGTTTCTCTCGCTGTTGGTGACGGTTTGATCCGTTTCATGTCGTTTTCTAAAGCCAAACTTCTCTTAGATTAACACACTTCACCGAAGAATGAGCGACAACGATGACATCGAGGTCGATAGTGACGTGAGTACATGTGTTATTTATGTGCTTGTTTTTGTTTTTTTGTTTGTTTTTCCGTTGCAGGTAGCGCGAGAGCCCGAGCGAAGCGCCCTGTGTTTTCGATTTGAGAGGCTCCAAGCTAAGCGCTTTAGCCAGCTAGCAGCACTAACCTACCGTCCACACCAGCAGTTCAGTTCTAGACAGAATGGGCTCAAAATGAGTAGAAAACAAAACAGCCTTAACGTGTACTGTGATCTGAGAGGGTCCTGCACTTCTACTGCTCTGTCTTTTTACATTTAACGTTACTGCAGTGCTTAGAAAACCGTGTACTCTTTAAAAAAGATGGTCCTTTAAGGGTTCATTAGTAAACCTTTGAAGAACCATCTTTTTTTAAGAGTGTAGCTAAATCTAGTAACTATGCTTTTCATATAGAACCTATATTTCCTGCTTGGTGGAATGGTTCTTCAGATTGTTGTTTATGGTTTTAGTGATCCAGAACCATTTTCAAAATGTTGTTCTATGTAGAACCTAAGGAACTATTTAAGCATGACTTGGTTTATGGCTCTAAATAGAATAATTGCTTTTCCTAAAGGACCCTTGAAGAACCATTTTAAAGAGTGTAGCTAAATCAAAAAAAAATATATATAACATTACATCCAAATAATCAGTTATATCCAATATAGTTTAACGTTAGCTTCACTTGTACTTTTCTTTTTCTGTTTTTTTGTTTGTTTTTTTTACAGGAAGAATCACCAAGATTTCACTCTGTGGTGCGTAATAAGCGGGGCAGTTACTCCACTTTTAGCCTTTAACGGTGATAATGCCCTCTGTTTTTGACATTTTGTTGTCGGGTAGGTAACTTACAGCGCTCAACACCAATAACTTAACGTCACATGCAGAACGAGGCATATTTCAGGCTTATTTCCTGAACAGCTGAATGGAGCCTGTAACGTTCATACGTTCATTTTGCAGCTTGTAGGCGGCAAGCTGGCCGGTGCTGCCTGTTTCACAGAGCAGCTCAGCAGGCCACCGATGCTGGAAGGAAGGCCGGTTAAGCCGGGGCTTTAGTTTGCCACGATCAGCACATCATGTCCATATTAGAGTCTGTGCTGGCTAACATTTATCCTTTCTAATTTCAGCATGTGGGTGCGTGTGCTTGTCCACGACATCTCGTGCTGCAGGTCTAAATAACAGGGACTTGGAAGTGTTGATTATACACTATATGTCCAAAAGCTTGTAGACACCTGCTTATCCAACTGTTTGTTCTGAAATCAAGGACATTAATAGGGAGTTTGTTTCCCCCTTTACTGCACTAACAGCCTCTACACTTCTAGGAAGGCTTTACACTAGATATTGGAACATTGCTATGGGGATTTGATTGCATTCAGCCACAAAAGCATTAGTGCGGTCAGGTACTGATGTTGGATGATTAGTTCTGGATCACAAACTCCACTCCAACTCATCCCATAGGTATTGGGTAGAGCTCTGTCTATCACTCCAGAGAACACAGTTCCACTGGCCACGGTGACCTTAGGCTCATGTGCACCTTTTCCAGATTGTCCCATTCTGTTGGCAGGGTTTTTCAATGGAGGTTATACCAGCTGTGTGTGCATAAATGAACAATGGGTGAACCTTAAAGTAGCTGAATTCACTAATTAGAAGGGACATGTAGTGTAGCTCAGTGGATATATGATACATTGCACTGGATGTTTTTAATCCTCTTATTATCTCTAAATGTCCCTAAACAAATGATTGACATCAATGACAGTCATGTTCTGGAGGTTTAAATTGCTGGGGTCAGATTCACCCCATAAATAAAGATGTTAGTAAATGTGGAGATAACAGGAGGGTTAAGAGCAGCATGTGTAGTTTAATTATTGTGCCATAATTGAAAATGGCTGGAGTAAAGGGCTGTCATTTCTGTGCTGGAGTTTCAGACCTAGAAAATATGAGATGCCCTGATCACTGTGGACCAAAGTTGATAGATCACCTTCAGCTTTTTGAATTACTGCAGCTACTTATTACTGAACGCAAGCTCAGAATGTCCTTGGAGCGTGACCTCCTTAGACCAGGTGCTCTAGTTTTGAGCATTATAACAATCACTTTTTGTTACAGGCCACTATTTGTAGCTATATTAGTAAATCAGTCTGAAAATTACTGTATTTTTTGAGCTGGGTGTGTGTTCTGCATAGGGCTGGGTGGTGCTGATAATATTCAATTCATCATTCATATAAATTTCCAAATATATCAAAGTCAACTATTTAACTATATCAACTATTTAAGTTACCATTAATAAACTTAATCAATCCATTTTCCTGAGTGCTGCTACTCTGTACTGTCTTACCGACCGAAATGTTTTGTTTCACTCTTTTGAAAGTACATCAGATAGAACCTCACACAGGACTGTGGATGTTACACAAAATAGATTTCCCGAACAGGAACATAATGTTCCTTTAATTTTACATATTTGACCTGTTCTTTCAAAACAATCTGAAACACTCAGTAATATAACTAAAAAGTGAAAACCAACAGATCTTCACTGTTTTATGGATGTTTATGGATATAATGTTTATTGTCTATCAAATATATTGTATTGCTATATAAAAGTATTGCTAAGAGTGCAAAGCAATATAGTATGCCAGTATACTAGTATAAACGACAAGTAACCCTGTTCTTATTCTCCAGGAATATTTTGAACGTTTGGTAGCATTTCATGTATATTTGATGCACATTTGACACCGGGTGTGATGTGACAGTGCAGTTGCCCTCTATTGTTTTGCCCTAAACAACCTAATTTTGAATTAATATTTTGAATATTTAATCATTTCATGAAGTGGTTCATTGTAAAGAAACTTTCAGTGGTGACAGGAACCAGGAGTGCAACACAGCAGAAACATAGCCATTTTATTTTCCATCCAAAACAACCATTGAACATACAGGTGTCTTTGAAGTTATTATATGTAATGTTGATAATAGTGAAATAGTGTTAAATCTGAAAAAATATTTTTTCTTTGGGATTGTTTTGCTACACATCACCTTGTATGTACCTATCCACCATGAGTGGATTTTAAAGAATACATTTCAGGCCAAAAGCTTATCTCAGAGTTATCATAAAGCAGTATCTCGGACATCAGGCAGTCTATTTATAACCATTTCATATAAAGCTTTCCATGAGGGAGCTTTTACAGGCATTAAACTCTTCAGACGTCTGGTTCTCGTCACCAGCACTATGAACAATTTTGACTTGGTAAATTTCTCTAGGATAGGGCGTTTCATATCAAACCACACTGAATGACTTGGTATACAGCGTAACCATATATTTATGGAGAAAATTTGTAAGATTCTTGGAATTTCCCTTTAATATTGAAAATGAAACTATATAGTGATCTCAGTTCAAGTTTCATTAAACTGCCTCATACATTTATTGAATGCCAGTATAAAAGCATTAGCGTTTCTCTAGGGTATTACACAGTTCAGGCATCTTTTGCGGAATGAGCTTCTGTAGCATGATAAGCAAGACAAATTACATTCAGGAAAGACAGAGATACTGACATCATCCAAATAGCTTTAAGAGCTGTGTAATGTAAATTGTGTGACTATTTTAGCAGTTCGAATGTTTGCCATAGGTTAAGAAACTCATTTCTCTACCATAGAGTTCTGCAATAAATTCTATAGTGCTCAGATAAAGAGTGACTGCACTATGCCTTACTGTACATAAGGCTGTGCCCAGGCTTAAGCGATTTCTAGGAATGTTGTTTATGTGTGAGGTGTGCTCAGGTAACCTATTATGTAACAGTAATGACTTCCAAGCATCTGCCAAGAGTTATGCCCTTGATTTGAGTAGCACACGTAGACGTACACAATACACATGGTCATGTGCCTCTCAGGGAAGTTGAGACTTGCGTGCAATGCTAACAGGTTTGCTCTGGAGACACCCAGATGCCATGCAGTAGACTGTCTACTCCCCTGTCTGTGTCACCAAGAAGAGCATGCTAGTCACTACTCTTATGTTCTCTACTTAAGCACCACTCTAATAGCCAGGACTGTAGCCTGTTCTATATATTGTATATAGTTTTGGGAGAAACATGCTTCTACCAGTTCATGCTGGGTGATGTATTGTCTGTTCTGGTGTACGTTCATATTACCACACCATGATGGTGCTTTTGTTTTCGGCAACTTTTTGTCTGTTTATCAAAAAGGGCAAATTTTAAGGGTGTTTGGCTGGTAAATCTAAATAGTGGTAGGTCCAGCAAAGGTGTAAGTACATGGCTGGCTTTGAGGAATCGCTGAACAAGATTGGAGTCAAGATGTCTGCGAAGTCCCCAAAGTGTCTTTTATCTTTTCCTGCAAGGAAAACTCTTTTGTACTGGGAGGAAGTGTTTCTTTATATTTAGATGAGACGATAAACAAATTCAGGTGTTTTAGCAGGCACACAAGTACATGTGCATTAGGTAATTGTATAAGTACTTGCACTAATGTAACAAATTTTTTGCCAGTTTTTCACGTGGTGGTTTGAGTGCTTTAAGTAAATTATTGTGAAATTCTAAAAATGGTGGGATTCCTCTTTAGAAGTCCACAAAATCTGGCCTATAACTCACTGAACAAGATGTCTCACACTTCTCAGTCCTTACATGGCAATAGTAATAAAGTTAGCCTATGGATTAAATGTAAGATTGTAGACATAGCAGACATATTGACTCATGATTTAGATCCACACCCTATGACATGTAGCACATGGTCTTTGTATGCTGTTCATGTGGATAACTAGCAGTCAGCAGTCATTTTGGTTGAAATGCAAAAGAGGCACCCATTAATGAGTCACTGGATGTTAAACGGGTTTTACAGCTGTGGCTGTAGGTAGTACTGGCTGAGCCTCGTGACAGTTCACTCTGGCAGCCATGACTTCCATGCAGCTGTTCGAAGATAGCTAAAATAGGCTTAATAAAGAGGTTTATTAGGATTGTAAAGGAGTAGTGCACAATTTCCCATTGTATAACATAATTGACATAATTGACAGATGCATTTTGGAAAGCTAAGAAATGTTTTGCATGAAAACATCACCTACTTCCTTAATAAACTCACTACATGCCATAGTTTCAGTATTGCTAGAAGTGCTTTTCGGCCTTCAGAACCTATCAAATTCATATATAGCCCATCATTCTTACAGATGGCTTAGTTGACTTGATAGGCTTTTTTTTTATAACGTGACATTAAATTTGACTTTTTTGATTACACACAAACAGTAAGGATGAGTTCACAGCACAGAAACATCTATAGGTGACCTCTAGAGAAAGCATTCGTGGCCTTTTAGCACAGTGTCACTATCATGGAGGATTTTACTGGCAGTGGTGCCGCTGTGAAGCCCCCTGTGACTCTCTCATTGCAGGCAGACAAACGGGCACACCACAATGCGCTGGAACGCAAACGTAGGGACCACATCAAAGACAGCTTTCACAGCCTTCGGGATTCCGTGCCTACTTTGCAAGGGGAAAAGGTTGGTAAACATCACTGGTAAAACCGAGAGGAGCACAGGCAGCTTTTAAATGTTCTATGTATTTCATGTGTTAAATTGGCTTTATTATGATGTGATGAACCAATTACATCTCCTAGTCTGAAACTGATAGAAAGCCTGTCAGTTGTGATTATTTGAATATTAACATGAGATAATAGTTAAATGATCCTGTTTGACAGTTGCAGGCTAGAGCAGGAGGTGAGCTGAATGAAGTCAGAGTAGCCCAGGTAGACTGATAACTAGACTGAGATCAGGCCATTGTGGGGGAAATTCCACTCACTGCCAGTTGTTTTGACATGTCTGACACTGAGGGCATTTAAGTGTCGCTGACTTTTTTGGGGATTTTTGGACCCCAAGACAGTTAGCTTTCCCCACAGACTCATGTTTGACTCATGTGCTGAGATGATGCGTGAAATGCCCTGAATGACTTCAGTGTGTAGTGTAGCAAGTAGGAGTGACTGATATGATATTATCACAATAAGCTTCTCTAAGTATATTATGGGTAGCATCAATACAGTACACTGAACCAATGCACAATTCATGAAAAAGAGGTTTAGAAAAGGGGTGTTAGCTGCCTTATTGTCAGGGGATTGTGGGTTTGAATCCTGACAATGCTGGGAGTCCAAGAGAACATGATGGGCCCTGCTTAATTGGATGTAGTGCTGCAAAGTATGTAACATGGAAGAAAGGAAAAAATGCTTGTACTGTTAGTAGCATTTTCATAATGCAGCACTACTGGGGCATTGTGGGATTTACAGCTTATCAACCCCTAGAACAATGAAATAATAACCTATTGTAGGGGTGGGCAATATGACAGTATTTATATCTTGATCAATTATGTCACATTATATCATGTTTTTCTGATCATACTGTGGATATCGTCAGTAGTTCAACACTGCCCAACTGCATGTTTCTTTACAAAGAGAGTCTGATTAGTTCTGTTTAATTAGATTTAGTGCAGCAGAGGTTTTGAAACATTGAATTTACACTCACTGAGCACTTTATTAGGAACACTAATACTGGGTAGGGTCTCCCTTTGCTCTCAAATCAGCCTTAATTCTTTGTGGCATGGATTTCTCAACATGTTGGAAACATTCCTTTAAGATTCTCGTTCATGTTGATATAATTGCATCATGCAAATCCTGAAAATCTTCAGGTTCACTTTCCTGTCACCACATCCCAAAGGTGTTCTGTTGGATTCAGATCCATTTTGCTCATAAAACCAGTTTGAGACAGCTTTTGCTTTGTGACACGGTGCATCCTCATGCTGGAATGAGCCATTAGAAGATGGGTAAATTGTGGCCATAAAAAGACTGGACATGGTGAGCAGCAATATTAAAATAGACCGTGACATTCAGGTGGTGATAGATCAGTATTAACAGGCCTAAAGTGTGCCAAGAAGATATTCCCCAAACCATTACACCACCTCCACCAGCCTGGACTTTTGATACAAGGCAGGTTGGGTCCATGGATTCATGCTGCTCTTGTTGTCCACTGCAGCCTCAGCTTTCTGTTTGTTGGCTGACAGAAGTGGAACCTGATGTGGTTTTCTGCTGTTGTGGGCCATCCATTTTGAGATGTTTTCTGCTCACCACAACTGTACAGAGTGCTTATCTGAGTTACTGTAGCCTTTCTGTCAGCTCGAACCAGTCTGGTCATTCTGCATGATTTAATGTACTGCACTGCTGCCACATAATTGTCTGATTACATAATTGCATAAATAAGTAGGTGGACAGGTGTTCCCAATGAAGTGCTCGGTGAGTGTAGTTCTTCACTAGTATTTTTTATAACTAGTAAACATTTCTGGTTCTTTTTATTCTGTTCCAACTTAAATAAATATATATACTTATTGTGTATTGTGAAAATGTCTTCATGATGCATGTTTGCTCAATTGCCCAACCCAAAATGTTCATGTTCTCTAAACATAATCAACTGTGCTGGAAAAGCTACATCTTTATTAATTCATTTTTGAGAATCTTAAATGATTTTAACTCTGAAATTACCATGGTTTAGTTTGAGAAATCTAATTGAAACAAAAGAAGACATTTTCACACTATTGTCTTTGGGAAAGATAGTTGTTTTAGTTAAAAGTAGAGCAATTCTAGCTTTAGCAGTGTGATAAGGACAATGTAACCTTGCATCATATTTTAGTATTTCGTTTGTTGCTGACAGCAATCTATCAAACAGGCTTCTCGAGCTCAAATCCTAGACAAAGCCACAGAGTACATCCAGTACATGCGACGGAAAAACCACACACACCAGCAGGACATTGACGACCTGAAGAGGCAGAACGCTCTGCTGGAGCAGCAAGGTGGGTAGCGTCAGGCTCGCAGGGACAAGTTCCATCACCCCCGGACCACGTGGCCATTTGTCATCTGCTCAGGGTGCCCTGTGCCAAACTCTGCACCAGGCATCTGTTCTAGAAGGCAAAATCCATTTCGCTATAAATTCTCTGTAGCTGCTGAACGCTTGCAAATGAAAAAATGAAAACAAAATTGAGATTTTCATCAGTATCTTACACTGTTAGTTAATTTGTCATACTGCCTGTTCCAGTAGTGTTTTTCACAAGCTATTGTTGACTTGCCATTTCTCCCTAAGGAAGTGGTCCCTTTACTATATTAGCATAAGTGATGTTTATTCAGTGAGCCCTTGGAGGGGTGAGGGATCAAGTAAATCTAAGTGTTTACTTAGGGCACAATTATTTCTGGACTGCCGAACGGATTTCTCCTTTTAAAGAGAAATGCCCACAAGGTGGGCAGTCACTTACATCAGCAGGAATATTATTACTAGTAATTACAAATTCCAGGACCAGATGGCTTTCAAATAGGGTGTACATACTATATGGTTAATGTTGTATTGTCTTCATGATTGTTCTTTCACTCTCCTGTTACAGTTCGTGCACTGGAGAAGGTCAAGGGGACCACGCAGCTACAGGCCAACTACTCATCGTCAGACAGCAGCCTGTACACCAACCCCAAGGGCAGCGCAGTGTCAGCCTTTGACGGAGGCTCTGACTCCAGCTCAGAGTCTGATCCGGAGGAACCGCCCACTCGGAAGAAGCTTCGTGTGGAGGCCAGCTAAGACCACTTCCTCCTCAGGCTCTTCCAGGATCTCCTAGTTTGGAGGGTCACTGCAGTGCCCTGTGCAGTGATTTTAACCTTCCTCCACCTCCTCTGCTCCCTTCTCCTCCTCAGTGTGCACCAACCAGAGCCTCCACAACCTCCAGTTTCATGTCTGCAGAACCTTCTCCGATGCTGGGCCAGGCCAAAGGAGAGATGCCTACTAGAGTAGGAGGACTCATATCAGAAAGGCAGCACAAAGCTCATGTCTTTCTCTACCTAGTCCTCTCTCCTTCCTCAACTCTCTCTGCCTGTCTTATATCCTGGCACCCACATCTTGGCAGCAACAAAGAACGACCCAAAACCAAAATGAGGCAGCTTTGTTATATAAGGACTCAGTGCTTTTTCTGTACCCTTGTCTGTACCCCCTTCAGTAGGAACCTAAAGGGGCTCATGAGGCATACAGCTCTAAGCACTGCTAAAAATGTTTTTTTTGTTATCCTCTTATTGTTGAATATGTTAAAGAACCTGTTTAGTACTTGTATGCACCCTAGAATAATTGTTCCAAAGGAGTGGCTAACCTTTCTAAATGTTTGTACTTTTCCATAAATGAATGTGAACCTACATCAAAGCAGTTAATATGAATTAATATTAAGTAGCCCCTCCACAATGGAATCAAATAGCTGACAAGTTTGGTTTAAACATGTTTTGAGAAAATCCCCAGACGTGTGGTGTTCTTTTAGCTTGATCTAGAGGAGTTTAGCTGGCTGAAAAAAAAAGGTTTTTATAAAGGAATGCATTCATTTTGCATTTGTCATACCATTGCAAAAATGATGTACTGCAGTTTGTATGTTTCTTGCAATTTTTGGGAATATATAAAGTTGGTCAATGTTGTTTTTCCCCTATAATGACACATTTATAGAATGTCAACAAATAAGCTTCTTTTACAGTGTGATTAAAAAACTTGTAAATCCCAGGGTCATATTTAAGTGCTAATTAAAATTTAACTTAAGTCCTACCCCGTCCTCCAAATTTTGCGCGTCTAGGAGATGTAAGTATATTGTTTATCACAGATTTTCCTCTTAGTACATAGTACATACTAAATAGGTCTTTGATTCCATTCCATGGAACTTACCGGTATGTCGTACATACTGCCAACAATTGTCTTGCAAGTTGAGGCCTACCTTTACTATGAGACTATAAATAAAACTATTTTATCCTTTACAGACGTTGTGGCTTTGTGGTTATTTATTCAAAACCTGAGGTACATCACTTCCAGTTTTAGTTTGCACTGAGAAAAAGAATGCTAATGCGATGCCCTACGATGCTCATGATGGCACAGCAATTTCTTGGTTCTTATAGCCGAGACAACTTCAGACCGTGGCCATTATTTAGGCTACAGTTCTGTTGTGATGTTAGTACTGAGAGATGCCAGTGTTTTGATACTGAAATAAAAGAAATTCAAGTAAATTTATCATTTTTCTCCATGTTTTACTCTTTAGAAATAACTGGTCAGCCATTCATCCCTTTTAGGTAAGCATAATGTAAGATTTAAATTTGACTGATATTTCAAACCTCTATCTGATGATGTATTTACTATAGCAGAATGTTTGTGACACTAGGCTACTCCACTAAAATATCTGCATTTTGTTCATTTTACTATATTTGTAACTCTTTAAAAATAAACATTATATTTCTCTAGAATGCTATAAAGGTAGACTTAGTCCCAACTGCTATAATTTGGCAGATGCTGTATGTACCTGAAAAACTATCTGCATCTGGCAGTCAAAAAGAACTGCTGACGGCACGTGAAGAAAATGTCATACACTTAACATTTAACAGATGTTTTTCGTGGTTATGCTGTCTGTTCATTTAAAAGAGGAAAACCACAAATGACGGATATTCCAACAAGACAATGGAAGTGAAATTCAGGCACCATTTTAAACTCCTTGGGAAATATGTGGTGAACAATGCAACCACTATGGATGGTCAACGGACAGCAGTGAAAAGTGTGTGGGAGGCAGCTCCTTTGTCATTTAAAAAAAAAAAAACTTCAGCAAAGTATGATACAGCAGGGTGAGGCTGTGTTCAGTACAAGAGGAGCAACGAAATGCTGATAAACAGTATGAACTGTTGGTGTGCATTTCCTATTTTGCCTTCATTTTTGGTTACTGATTACAAAACTTAACTTTTGAGCAATTCTTGTTGACAGTTTATCAGAATTTTGTAGGTCCTGTAGTGGATGAATTTTTCCTTCTCCACACATTTCACAACATAGCTCTGTAACTGTGTGACAGTTGGAATACCAGTCATTTGCTGTGTTTTCCCCCTTTGGCTGAACATACAGGTTAAAAAAAAATATATATAATGTTGCCAAGTGTCAGTGCATGACGTGCATCTCAGCAATTCTTTTGACTGCCAAAGAGTGTGAAACAAGTAAACTGCTCAGAAAACCACAGGTAAAGAAAAATGTACCATGACAAACAGTATTCAGAAAAGTGAAGCAAAAGCTGTTCAAGCCTTTATTTGATCAGCCCAGGCTTACCGCCATTTACACTTGGGGCAACATTACTAAAACCTTAAAACGAGTTAAAAAGGCTAGTCATGTGCAATATCAAGAATTCACCCAAGGACTGGCGTATGAAAAAGAAAACTTGCTTTTAGGAGTGACCACAATACTGATTTTGACAGGGCAGAAGTCGTTTGCACATGCTAACAGCTTTAGTAACTCAGCCCCTTGGAGTCTTGTGCAATTATTACCAGCACAGATAATGACTACAGCATTACACACAAGGTTCCTGCTTGTAGCCCAGATAACTGACTTCAACATCCCTTAAGAAAAGGAAAAAAGAAAAGAAAAAAAAGACTAAGACTGGTCCTTGGCACATGCTGTAGCACCCTTCTGTGCTGGTATTGGCAGCTGATGGAAATGCTGGATGGCTTGAGCGACCTTCTCTGGGCAGATGTTGTACACGGGGTGAGTTGGTGCCTAATGGCAGAAAGAAAAAGTTTGCAATGAGGAAGGAAGCAATTACGCATGGCAGGGTGTGCGGTCTCAGTATAGAACTCAACATCCCATAAGGCACGATGGCAGGAACGTGTAGTTCATACATCATTAACACACTCCAAGATCATTTCTGTGCTTATGGAACAGTAGCCATTTTTTCTTGTCTGTTTAAAGTACAAACGCCAATGTTAATAACAGCATAGTTTCATTTTTAATTGTACTTCTTACATTTTTGCATGCAAAAAATGGAGCATAAAGAGCCCATTTTAATGCACAACTGACTTTTCGTGGAATACAGCAAACGAGAGACACTCAGAAGAGACTGTGGGCCACATTAACAATATAGTTTTAAGTTTCGATACTCAGTTTCACATTTAATATTTCAATATGTAGTGGACTCGTTAGATCCTTATCAGCGGTTAATTTGTTTAAAGGAGTGTTTAATATTTGTTAAGGCGCCCATATAATGGAAAATTAAATTCCTCAAATGTTGAGTTTGAAATATGTCCACACTGTAAAAGTTTCGGGTTGGAAAATGGTTACGTAAATAAGAAATCATGACTATTTTTGCTACATGCAACCACAACAATGCACACTACGGGGCCTTTAAATGACATTTTTGCTCTGTCCTGGGAGCCATGGCTAACAGTTTTTTAGCGATAGTCTTCCACAAGCACAAGAGAACAGAAGGTCTTTTAAAATGTATGGTTTAAAAATCTGGAATCACTTGCCAGAACATTTTTTGTTATTCAAAACACAATAACCTATATAATGTGGATTTAAATATTACAAACTATTCACTAAAGGTCTGTTTTAGTCAATATTTCAAGAATTCTCTCAACAAGAAGTGAATAAAATGATGAATAATATACTATAATTGTCTACAATTTATTTTCAGGTTAGTTGCACTTGAAATATGATGAATTCTGAATGTAAATTTTAACAGAGCCTTGTGGGGGTTTACAGCTTTCACCATCATTTTAGAATTCTCTACAGCTCTGATCATCATTGTGGACTCATCTAAACTTTCCTCATTTTATTTAGAGCTTCCTAGTGTCATAAAAATGACTTAAATCATGTGAAGTGACACAGGACTACAACATTACATCATTTGTACACTTATCTGCAACCAAACTGTTTTTTATTTTTATTTTTTGGAAGAAGCTGATTCTTTTAAACAGCAGTTTAAAACTTGTGAACGCAAATTCTGCTGGAATAAAACTTGACCAATGAAAACCACAAGGTTGCCAGCAACAGAAATAATCTCAACATTCATGTTCATGGTCATGCTCCAAGTACTGCAAGCACTTACCAGTCTGTTCTCCTCTTTGCCAAGGACCAGCTCATGGTGGAGATCTTTGTTTCCAAAGTGCTGTGCTACTGAGAGTCCACTCAGACAGTAGCAGGTGTGGTAAAAGTCCCTGGACCTGAGAACAAAAATTCACACTTTATTTCACCCAGAATTCTATACAAGAAAGGCGGAAAAGCTCTTTTCACAAGAGCTTAAAATCATGACTTGAAACTATATTATGAGATGTACAGCTGGGACGGCTCTTTGACAACATGAATAAGTCACAGATATCTAAAAAAAATCCATATGAATTCAGTGTGCCTTTCTTTGTTTCACCGATTCCTGTGAAGTGGAGTATTTGATATGTAGGCTGTGTTCAGGTCTTTCTATAAAATTCCTGGAGCTCAGGAGAAAAGTTCTAGCAGTACACCTACACACCTAAATCAGTAAAAACCTCTACAGTTGTATTCAAAAGTTCAAACACAAAATATGTAATTCCTGAAGAGAAAAGAACTACACAGAACAACTGCAGCGAACTAAAAAAAATAACATTTTACTGCAAATGTTAATACACGGTTACTTTATATTTCATTACCTTAAAAAAAATAAATAAATAAATAAAAAATAGCAACTGTGGCATGTGCTAAAGTTTAGACACCATACTAAGTCGGTATTTAGTAACACCCTCTTTGGCAGATCTCACAGCTTGCAAATGCATTTTGTAGCCAGCTAGGAGGAATTTTCACCCTTTTGTCCTTCTAATTCTGCAATACTGTTGGTCCATCTTGTATGCACAACATGTTTAAGATCTACCCCAATCTACGTTAAAGTCAGAGAACTGTGAGGGCCATTCCAAAAGCTTCAGCTTGCATTTCTTGAAGCAGTTGGCTGCCACACACCCCTAAAGCATAACAGATCCAACCCCTTGCTTAACAGTTGGCAAGTAGTTCTTTTCATCAAATGCTCCTTTTTCCTCCAAACATATCTTGATCGTCACCTAAGAGTTCCATTTTGAATTCATCACTCCACAGAACGTGCTTCCAAAATGGCTCTGGCTTATCTAGATGTCGTTTTGCATACTTCAGACATTAGCCATCTTTATATGCAGCCTGATAATCCATGAATAATCCAACTAACAGATCTTTTGGAATAGAATACATCCATGTATACACCTCAGTTGTAATGGACTAGTCCGATTGAGGCCATTTGGAATACAATTTCTATCCAACTGAGTCAGGTGAGTAATCCTGTAAATAAACCTTTAAACAGAAGAATAACAGTCATGTAAACAGCTGTTTCCGATTACATTCCCAATCAGAAAGTTTAAGTATGTTCTGAGCATGTGCGTCATGTCATAGCGAAAGTTTATAACGTTCAACATGGTGGGAGCAGAAACTGGTCTGCAGAGGAAACGAAGTTTATGCTTTGAACTTTCAAAGACGGCGGTGAGACGGGCGTCCAGCTTGGGTGTCTCAGAACACGTCATCTTCTTCTCATGCCTTCTTCAATAAGTACATGTGAAGTACATTTTCCTCAGTCTGACATAATTTTGAAGTAATGAAAAGCACAAGCACACAAACTGAAAACTCTGGTAACACATTGCTGCTTGTCTTACTCTGACTGGACTCGTTGGAGACGTGATGCTCGTTGTCATGGTAACATCTACACTAAGCATACTCTACACATGCGCGTTATTTTGGATCGGATTACTTGTAGTTTGCACGTAATTTTCAGGAATTTGCAGGAATTTTCTCTGATGTGTGAGCAGGGAGCAAGCCAGGAGCAGGAAATAGAAAAATTAGAGCAGAGTTGGAGCAGAGTAATTACAAACCTCTGAGCAAGGAGTGAAAATTTCTGCTGCTCCACTCCGCTCACATGCTCTAATATGCACACAGAGTTAGATCTGTATTTGCTCATGTATGTTATATTCATGTGCGTATAGAGCTGTACTCACTTGCCCGGTTTGTCCAGTAAGCCTCCTGCAGGGTTCTGACAGCAGAGCAGGATGTACTCCTGCAGAGCCTGCTGCTCAAACATCCAGCTGCTCAGACTCAACGTCACGTCACCTACAACCATCAGCACATCGTTACTGTTCACAAGTCTGACATCATCAAGCAGCTTCACACATAAACGGCAGAAAATGGGCACATATTACAGCACATATTATATAACTGTGTGGTAAACCTATCATTATTATCTCACTGTATAATGACAAATAATTACACAAATCATGTTAAGGTAGCAGTAAGTAAACGTGTAAGTAAACCAAAAGTCTTTAAATTAATGCCTGTGCCACTCAATACGTTAAGTTTAAATTTCTAAACATTTAAATACAACAAATGTTGACCACAGTGTTGTACAACCAAATAAATATTAACAGATCCTTAGAACACAGTCACAGTTATAACTAGTGATAACAAAAGCATAATGTCATTTGACATTAACTATTGACTGTAAATTCATCATCATTTTTTAATTAGAAATGGAGGATTTTTTTTTCATTCTGACTAGAAAGAAAAGCTGTTGCTGTGCATACAGCCTGTTTTGCAGAAGCCTATGTTTAATTTCCTATTTATTTATTTTCATTTCTTGTCATCAATGAATGTAAAAAGAATCAGTTATATAGCTATGTTATTAATTATGTAATTACTTACAGAAAAAAGTCTATTACCGTCTTTGAAGAGAGCTCTGTGGAGCAGCGGCAGAAGACCAGCTTGCCAGAAAGAGTAACAGCCATCCACTAGTTTATTACAGCGTCCCTGGAATCCGCCCTCAAAGCGCATCTGCCTGCTGGTGACCCAGCGCTGTGGGTTTAAAGGAGGAGAGACTGTGACACCTTCATTTCATAAAGGGCCAGCATGGAGGAGGTATTAGGCAGAGGTTTCAAGTGATAATGCTCTACTATAGAAAACGCTGACAGCCAAAGGCATCATATGTAATTTGCAATAAATTTGTTTGCATCAAATTACAAGGTGAACCCAAAAGTCCTCAAAAGCTATTCCAGATAACATTTACTTATTTTTAGTAAAACCTGTTTACTGCAGGTCAAATTGTCCAGTTCAAAACATCAGAATAACATGAGTAAAAGACATCATGCTGTCATGCTCAAAAGCAGGTTAAATGCAGTGCTTTGTGTAAGGTGATATAAAATTCCTTTAAAACGTTACTATGGAAACTCAAGACTCAAGGCTATTTCAGTAGAACATGAACATTTTAATATTATCTATTTGGAGAGAGTGGAGGCTTTCCACACTTCCTGTGGACACATTAATTTAGGCTGTGGTCAGAAGTGTAGTAGCTGATATCGAACTCTCTCGCCTCCGTTCTTCCTGGTGGAAAAGAAGCAGCGTGAGCATCGATATGCCCTTGCTTTTTGCCCCGTAAGGAGTCAGTCTATGATATTTTGGGCAGGCAGCATCAGCCTACAGTCGCATCAAGTTTCACTCCTTTGGTTTTGCCAGTGACTTCCACTCCTTTCTCCAGTGTAGAGTCTCCAGCATGATGACAGAAGGCATGGGCATAATATACACTAGCTAGGTTTGTTCCATTTCCACCAAGAAACTAGTTATAACATCTTATACCTAATAGCACTTTATACTCAGGATGCACTTTAAGAATGAACGCCTTTTTTGTGGCCAATACCAAAAAGCCTTTTAAAGGGATAGGCATATGCCACTGTAGGAATAAGTACAGACTTTTCATAATTTCTGAATACTTTAGTGATTAAGATGTGTGAGTCAGATCTCTTTAAAATGGTGGTGACAGGAAAAAAGGATTGTGATGTCCAATGTATCCGTAACACATATATTGACATTTTATTTACTATCAAAACCACCAGTGAACCTATGGGTGTCTTCTGATTTTATATGTAATGGTGATGAAGGTAAAATAGTGGTAAATCAGAAAAATTACAATTTCTTTGGATACTGCTTTGCCTTAAAATAACCCTCATGGGCAGATTTTATATATCAGTGTTGTAGGAAGAAAACCTTGTATCTCCAAAACGGTAACTTTACAGGTAAAGGAAAAAACATACTTTACTTTTAATGTAAGTCAAAGGACCCAGCCTTTTTGTCCAAGTAGTTTTGGACCACATTTTTATGGTCCATTCATCATTAAATTTACATACAACATAAAAGGCCAACAGTTATTTCCAAATTAATTCAAAAATTTAAAAACGACAAAAATGGAGATACAAGGTTTTCTTCCGACATTCTTGCGATATATATATATATATATATATATATATATATATATATATATATATATATATATATATAAACACCATCAAGTACTAACTTCCTGGGAGGCATTAAATACTTGGGAAGTCTGGTTCCTATCACTGCCACTGTGAATCTATCATTACCATGTAATTATGCAGAAACTTTAAAAAATCTGTGGAATTCCTCTTTAAAGCAAGTTCACACTATAAAAGAAAATGAGTGTAAGACATGTTAAAAAATCAATGATCCATCTTTAGAGTAAGTTCAACATAGCCATGACACAACTACATCAGATATGACAAATACAGTGAACATATGCATTATTATATAAATAGTTTACATTATTTAGCTCCTAGAGGCACTAACAATTATAGGCAACAATAATTTAATAGTCTTGTCTAAAAACACTTAATGGTATAGCTGTTTCTGGTTGGCCAGGGAATCCAACCCCAGTCTCCTGCCTGTGGTGTGGTGTTGTTATCCACTATGCTCCATTTGACAGAACTAAAAAGAATGGAAATATTCAGCACTAGCGACTACACATGCCAGTGTGCACATAGGCTCAAAAACATTGGGCGCTAAATGTTTGGCCATAATTCTAGCATCAGTCAAATAATAATAATAATTCAATTTCTAATTTATTTATATATTTTGGTTGCCGGTATATATATTTCTATTGCAGAGGTTATTAAGGAACTGTTTAGGAATGGGGACCATTCAGGCAAAGATGACAAATGCTGGTAGAAATGAGAAGAAGGTCCACTCACTAATAAAGCTTTGAGGTCCAGCATGTGTTCCTTTCCCAGGATAACCAGAGCTGCTGTGCCACAGAAGGTGTATCCACCATGGGCCTCCAGGCCGGGCATCCCACCCAAACCACCCTCCCAATTCTGACAGCTGGGAAAAAACAGCAGTGAAAGAATCACCTACAACATATGAGCTGCAGCTGGACGCAGGACATTTTTAAACGTACAGCTGAGCTAAAGTAAGCTGAGAAAAAATGTGAAGTACCTGAGGATCCAGTTGTGGGTTCCCTCAAACAGCATTGGGGTGACGATGTTTGTGAGTGAAGCCACAGATGCAGCACAGTATGCACTCCTATACAACAGCAGCCAAGCGTAACACAATAACAGGTCATATTTATTTATAAAGCTTTCCAGACATTTTCAACTGAATTAAGGTTTCAGATCTGCGGCAAAAGTGAAGCTTGCTTTTCTCCTCTCTCTCAACCCACTTATTTTACTGTAGTTTTCCACTTCCTTATGCAAGTGGATAATCTTATATCTAATCTCCGCAGAAATATCTTCTGAAAAATAAACTTCATGAACTTGTACAGCAGTGTAGATGGGGGTGGTGGGAGGGGGACATGGGAGGTGAAACATGAAATTATTAGCTAATAATATACTAGCATTTGTCCATGTCTGCTGGTGCATGGTGACAAACAAAACTCAGAAAACATTTTAGAAGCAAGCAAATCAGTGCATGTTGATGTAAGATTGCAGCAAAACTAGTTATTGGTGTTTTGAATAGTTGAATCATAGTTTTGTTTTAAACAGTTGAATAGTTGGAAGTGTGTGTTTGACTTTGCGTGGAAGTGGGTCATTTTCAGCCTCTGTGCATTCAAGCTACAAAGCGGACATGGAACAAACCAGTCAGCTAACGTAAGTGAGATGAGTGATAACTTTAATATTCATCATGTTTTCTCAAGAACAGCAAACTTTATCTGACTTTATGAGAAGGAATTCCTAGTTGAGGGGTCATTTTTTCTTGTATTTTTTCTAGTTGGAGTTGGGAATTTCCAAATTACGAGCTTCAGTCGAATGCAACATTAATCCTGGTCCTGAAGTACCACTGCCATGCACGTCATGGCATTTTTCCACTGAGCAGTATGGTACAGCACAGAGCAGATACAAATCCAAACCCAGAACTATCCGTACTATTGTCGAGCATGTGTCTGAACGTATCGTGAACAATCGTGAAAGGAGCTCTAAGAGTTCTCTGACTCCAGTCACACTGGCCAATATAGCGACTGCGATTTAAATTACGAATTTTTACTTTGTATAAATTATGTTCCAGGCATCTTATTTTGGCCTAGAAGACCTTTTCCTTTCTCTGGCTTGAGGCTTGATTGCTGAATGTAGTGTGCCAGACTGCCAGTTAGTTGTGGATGTGTTATTATGCACATAGTACAATGTTGCTTTTGATTGGCCCAACTCATGTATGGGCAGTTCATGAGCTACATGTACAATTTGACCCCTTAAAACTTAAGACAACTTTGTTAATGATACAGGCCAGTCTGGTCCTCAGGCCCCCCCCAGGTGGTCCGCATTTTTTCTCTTTATCCCTATGTGTTGCAAGTTGGGCTGGAGCAAAAATGCAGACTGTCTGGGGAGCCCTGAGGAGTGGGTTGGGCACCGCTGATGTAGGCTATAAATAAACTGCAGTTCATGTGTTTTGAAAATTGCACTTAAATTGCGAGTTTGATATAAAAGTAATTAATCTTTCAGCTCTATCAGTGACTACTGCGTTTTTCCAATTAGTGGTAAAATCACTAGCTCTGCTCAAATATTCCAGCTTGGCACTTCAGCAAGCAGGGTATACAAATTCAGCACAGGTACGCAAGCACAGTACATCTTATATGCCAACGTAAGTGATGACAAAATCACAGATTTACATAGATTTGTAACTGTACTGCCCTGCAGAAGGTTATTAGGGTTTCCCCTGCTAATAAAACACCACGGACATGAACTTACAAAGTAGCCTTTTAACGCAGTGTTATTTTACACAATTTTTTTAGCATAAAACGTGTCCCAATTACACAATCTGTCAGAGGTATGCTCTATTACTTAAATTTAATATCTTTTCTTATTAATTCAATGCATTTATATAAAAGGCTTTCTTTCTAACAAAAGCACCAGTTCTCTAGACTCTGTTTGAACTGGTACAGCTGGCCAAATTATTCCAAAAATGACTTCACAGCATTTTCATGATAGATAAGTGTAGACTCATTGTATTAAAACCTACTGAAACAGAAGTGTCTGCAATGAATTGTAAAAGGCTGCTCTTTAATGGCTGCCTGCGCTTTGTTGAATCAGTCCTTGGGGAATAAGCCAGTGACTGCTGCTGAGCTGAAGCCCATATTTACACTGGCAGACTCATGCTGAAACCATGGCAATGAAACTCACCTGACATCCACCTCCCCACCCACATGCATCACAAAGGAGCCATCTGGCTGCTTAACGGAGTACAGGAAGTCCAGGAGCTTCTCTCTGTTGGGGGGAAGGGGAGCGTCAACACACGTTACTATGGCTATGATATCAATGCAGCATATGAAAGTGCTGATGGAGAGAAGAGAGCAGAGCAGTGGCTGTGAAACCTGTTTATGACACTGTAGGCCTCCTCTGTACCCAGGATGCACAGGGCATTTACAGCAGCGTAGGTGGGGGCCAGGTGAGCGTGCTGTCCCGGACCTCCAGCGAAGCCGCCCGTTGGGCTCTGACACCGAGCCAAGAACTGACACACACTGGAGGTTGAGAGGAAAAGTGTATTATGTATGAGAAGTGCATAATACTTGCTATTTAAATATACGGATATCAGAACTTATTACTTATTACTTATTACAAGTACTCAAATAGGAATATGAAATGTGGAGGGAAAAAAAAATCATGCACTGTTACTTTAAAATGAGTTTATGACTAAAGGTGCTGCAAGAGCAACAAAGAATATTAGGACACAAGTAGTTGATACTGTACCTCAAGTTAAGTGAAACAGCAACATCTAAGTGGAGCTATCTGAAATTATTTTAAACTAATGATCTGTACAGTCCAGGTTTGGTGAATCATCAATCTGTAGACACACTATGTAGAATGTATTCATTGTGTTTTGACATTTTGTTTTCTAACAAGTTGCATCTGTTTTAAACTGTCCATTACAAGATTGCACTCTTCTTTTCGGCAAAGTGTTCTTTCAAAAAGGCGACCGCTGTTTCAGGCTGTTATCACATCAGCAGTTTCTTTGCAGACTTCTGCATCTAAAACAACTTTGTACACTTCTGAGTTCATGATACCATTATTGAACCCAAGCTCATCATCACTCCATTTAAATGTTTTAAGTAAGTAACCTAACAAACATAATTAAAGTTTACTAGTGGTTTAATGATTCAATTGCACAAATACTTTTTGGGGCCACTGTACACCTAAAACAAAGATAACTCACTAAATCAACCGAATGACTGCTGAAGATTCAGATCTCTTATTTATCTACTTTTACTTATAACAAAATATTCTTTGTCTGTTAACGCAAAATATTGCATTTGTAAAAATATTTATGACACCAAAAAGACAAACATCTACAAGAACAAACACCTGATTTAGGGAGGAAATGTAAAGCAATAAAGCCATTTATATTTGTCTGCAATATGAAATGATTGTGAAATGGATGAATGCTTCTCCCTAAGAAACATTTACATGTTTCACGAAAACCTATATGAAAACATGTCTTCACGAAAACCAACAACAATCTATTGACTGCCTGGACCTGAAAAACCTATACCGCAATGACTCACACGTCTGACTTAATAGTCACCACATCACAGCAAGCTGTTTCAAAGAATCAGAGGGTTAGGGGTGGGGCTGCCTCTATGGCACGAGTGGAGCGAGCAGAGTGAAGAGGGTTAGTGCTGTTACTCACTCTGATGCCACAGCAGCAGGTACAGGCTCCTCCAGCAGCTCCAGACTGTGCAGGATCCAGTAACAGAGCCAAGGCCGACTGGCATCCAAACACTGACAGCATACAACACAACAAGTCAATGGCTATTACCACAACAGACAGAGACACACACACACACACACATTTCCAGAATGGACATAATTATGTAACTGCACTGACCTGGTGAGGGCAAAAGTGATGCAATACGTTTTTACTATTCAATTTATTAAACTTATAAAAATTGCATACAGCCATTAGTTTTAAACATATCAACTTCTAATAAGAGCACAACAATTCCTACATTCACTAAAAACAGCCAATTATCAAAACTAGGCTTGAGTGCAGTCTATTAGAGTAGAGTTGGAAGTGAAGGGGAGGTGCTTATATTATGCATGTATCCAAATACAAATTACAACTTTTTAATTAAAGGAGTTCTGATTTCTGCTATTTATTTTGTTATGAGACAGAGTGGTCGGCACAGAAAAAGTCCTATTTGAGAACTTATTTATATAAATATTTATCTGATTTATATGAATCTTTTTAAACTGCTGCTAACTTCACATCACTGGACAGCTAACTGCCAATTCAGTTACATCAGCTAACAGATGCCTGCATTGGCTAGCATCACACTGAGTGATGGGGCGAGGGAGGGCCATCCTACTCATCCAGAGAGAGTAAGGCCATTTATGCTCTCTTGGACTCCTGGACACTTATGACTGTGGCATCACCAGGGACTGAACTGGCAATGCCCCCGACAACGGGGCTAATGATTAGACGGTTGAGCCATTATGCTTACGGAGGTTAAAAGGTGTCAATGAATTTGTTTCTCCATTGGGTAAACAAAGTAAAAAGATAAACTGCCCCTTTAAATCATCATACATGTCAGAACTCTCATTCTCTCTTTGTATGCTCTAGACTCTGCTTACCTCATATGCATCTGAAAGATGGCGTAAACCTTTCTTGAGATATTGGTAGTGTTGCTCTCTTAGTAGGGTTGGCCTAAAAATAGAAAAAAAAACAGATATCAACTGTAACCTGACAAATACTTAAAAAGAAATATATATATATATACACACACACACACACACACACACACACACACACACACACACACACACACACAGACCAGCCACTTCAATTAGCACACCTACTTGTTTCTACACTCTGTGTCCATTTTATCAGTTCCACTTACCAAACAGATGACTCTGTTGTTCTACAATTAAAGACTGTCATCCATCTGTTTTATATATAGCTTGATAAGGAAAGTATTAACCATTAAAAGGTCTCATATTTTAAAAAAAATGGTTGAATAAGAGCTGGATGTGCATAATATAAATACTGTGAAAATATCTAAAAATACAGTTCCCACCCTTGCCTGACAGTTCATATGAAGAAACTAAGTTTTTTCCTTGTAGTTATGGCATCATGTTTGCATGATCACCTACAGCATTTGCATATAACTGTCAATTTAAACATGACAAGTGTCAATCAATAAACCTAAAAGTAATGAAACCTCACTGGCCTGTAAGGTCAATGTATAGCAGATCTAGAAATAAAGATTTGAGAAAAACCTTGTAGTGTTGCTAGTCTTTGTAAAGAGAATACATTTTGTGAAGCATTTCAAAAGACACAAATATTAGAAAACAAGTTTTTCCCCCATATTGACCAGAAGAACAGTACAAGAATGTTCAGTATGGACCCTTTAAGCTGAAACAGGAGATTTACAAGCAAGTGTACTTATTTCATCCAGCAGTCTAGAAGCAGTCTAAAACGTTTAATGGAACCAGGCAGAAGTTAAACAAGAAAAATAATGACCCATTTTTAAGTTTATTTGCTTCCTTAAACTTGTTAGCCAAGCAGTAGCAGGTTGTAAAACTGAACGGCCCTTAGTTTTAGACATCAAAGGGCCCGCTGGTGTCACGATGAAACATCCCTAGTTTCTAACTGTCATGAGTAAGTCAGTGCATCTCTCAGCATTAGCTGTGGAGGTGCTGGGGCATGTCTAATTGGGGGTTGAGGGGGTCCTCAACTGAGCTTCACCATGAGCAAACAGACCCATCATTATCTTCAGTTCTTTGGTCTGTTGCTTCCCACTGGGCCACACCGAACACAGTAATTACAGCTTAGTATGATGTAGTATCACACTTTGCATGCCCATGAAAGGCTTAATTACTTTTCCACTACACTAAGATAAGCCTTCAATTTGGACATTAACATACCTAAAATTGAATGAACATCCCATTTGCAACGTGCTGCAACTCATGTTTTCTAGCTGAAATTTGGCTCTATTTCCTTCCAATTCAATTCAAATCTGTATAAGGCTTTTTACTAGAAATGCTGTCAACAAGCAGCTTTACAGAAATCAACAACGAAGACTCAGAAAGAAAAAAAATCCCTAAGAGCATCAGGAAGAAACACTAGGAAGAACCAATCATCTTCAGTGCTGTAATAAAAATTACAAAGAGACCATTAAGAATTACATACATACATACATCATCTAAACCGCTTATCCTTCTGGGTTGCGGTGGGGTGCTGGAGCCTATCCCAGCTCCATTAAGAATTACGAATAAAGAAATTAAGTAACGCTATTGCACCAGCAATAGAGGTAAATATATAAAAACAAGTTATCGTCCTCTACAGAGCTAAACAGCTGAATGACACTACATGACAAAAGGTTTATGGACACCCCTCCTAATTACTGAGTTCAGGTGTTTCGGCCACAGCCATTACTAACAAGTGTATAAATTGAACCACATAGCTTTGCAATCTCAATAGACAAACACTGGCAGTAATATGGTTGTACTGATGAGCTCAGTGACTTTAAATGTGGCACTGTCAGAGGATGCCACCTCTGCCACATGTCAGTTTGTGGAATTTCTGCCCCGATAGACCTGCCCTGGTCAACTGTAAGTGTAACTGTAAGTGTAACTGTAAGTGTAACTGTAAGTGTAAGTGTTCTATTATTGTGAAACGTGTCTAGAAGCAACAACAGCCCAACCACAAAGCAGTAGACCATGCAAACTCACAGAGTGGTGCCATCAAGTGCTAAAAATAATCCATTCCCTGTTGCTTTCCTCGCTATAGAGTAACATTAGCACAAGAACTGTGCGTCAGGGTGCCCAGAGCTTCATGAAATTGGTTTCCATGGCAAAGTAGCTGCACATAAGCTTAAGATCAATACGCACGATGCCAAACGTCAACTGAAGTGATATGAAGCCCGCTGCCAATGGATTTTGGAGAAGGGGAAATATTTTCTCTGGCATGATGAATCATGCTTCACTATCTGGCAGTCTGATGGATGAATCTGGAGAACACTTCCTACCAGAATGTAAAGTGCCAATAGTAAAGTTTGGTGGAGGAGGGATAATGATCTGGGGTTGTTTATCAGGGTTTGGGCCCCTTAGTTCCAGTTAAGAGTAATGTTAATGCTACAGTACAAAGACATTTTAGACGATTACATGCTTCCAACTTTGTGGGAACAGTTTGGGGAAGACCCTTTCCTGTTCCAGGATGACTGTGCCCCTGTGTACAAAGCAAGGTCCACAAAGACAAATGGTCAGTGACGAGGGACTCCAATGGCCTGCACAGAACCCTGAGATAAACCCCTCTGAACACCTTTTTTATGAATTGGAATGCCGACTGTGAGCCATGTCTTCTCGTCCAACATCAGTACCAGACCTCACAAATGCACTTTAGACTGAATGGGCACAAATTCCCATAGACACAAAATCCTTCCCAACCTTCCCAAAAAAGTAAAGGTTGTTAATGCCACAATATTATTGGGGATGGTTTTGGTATGGGACATCCAACAATCTCCTTTAGGAGAAACAGGTCAGGTGTCCACATACTTTTGTCCAGAATTTTAATGTACTCATAAATGCATTAGTTTTCATGACATCACAAAAACAATTAATTTAAAGTGAGCTGTTAGTGTAGCTTAGCTTCCACATGTAGACTGTATAGACTGAGGAGTGAATGGCTTTTGAAACCTCAACAATGTTTACATACAATGTCAAAACCTTATATTAAAAAAGAAAAACTAGAAAAAAAGGTTCTCAATGATATGGGATCTTTAACAGCACAAATATGTTAACAAACCAGTATTAAATACAGGATTATTAAATGAAGGAAACAAGGTAATGCTTTAAGCATTTCTCCTTCGGAATATATGAGACAGTTGCCATGGCAATCTCATAACTTTAATGATAATTAGTAGTGTTAATATCAAGACTCTAAAATATGTACGGTCAAACACAGGAATCTATTTCTAACGTTACCCATGCAAAAAATCACACCTATTTCATCACAGATACAGACACAGTCCAAACACAGATATCTGAGGTTGTTTACACAGCCATGAGTCTTCTAACAAAAAAGGAACAACTTTAGACAGAATTCAAGAACAAAAAAAGAACAAAATGGTTATTTTTAGTGCGATCTCAATACTTTCTGAACTACATCCACCATAATGGATATCACAGTACACCAGCATGCCAAGAATGCAGTGTGCAGATTCTGTCCCACAGTGGAAAGAGCTCATGCCAAGAAGCAGACACAAGATTAGAAAATAAGTGTGTGGAGGAAAATAACAAATGGAAACAGTGAGAGTCGAGTACAACCAGTTCCTCACAGGATATTAAAAGTATGCAGTTTATAGACAACATTCTTGAACACAGATTTGATGAACACCTGCAAAACCCTTCAAACTGTCTGGGGCTGAAACTTTCATCAGATGTAAATCTGTCATTTTCTATTCTTAAATTTAACAACTTTAATGACTTTTTAATCCATCAATGTCACTCTTCTCAGTTTCACAGTGAATCTGTACCAAATACCAAAACCACAACAGAAGTCTAGCTAAAAAATCTGAACATCTGTACATCTTCTATTTACTGAATTCTCTTAACGACACATTAAATACAGTTCATTTGTATTTAACCTAATCAAACCAGTCAACGGTTACTCTTGTTCATTGTGATGTGTGATTTGTAGACATGAGCTCTTTTTAATCAAAAATATTGCAAGTTAAAACAACACAGCAGGATACAAACTGTTGCCTTTCATTTTTTTTAAGTAGGCTAAACACTTCGGTTTTTTACACTATTAATTTCATTTATGTACAAGGAACAATACAGATAAACACACAACAAAAAAAGTTTTCTTTAGGGGATATTTTGCCTTACAGTGCCCTGTATGTATCTCTTTACCATAAACAGGTTTTAAAAATGGATTTAGGCCAAAACCTTACCTCAAAAGTATTGCAGATGTCTCCGTGATCAGGGGGGTATTCCACAAAGCAAGATATCTCAGGTAGCCAGATAACTTAAGCGGGATGGGAATGGGAATGCCCCTCAGCTCTTTTCCTATTTGACAGGCTTGACTTTGGGCTTAAGTTAGCTAGCTAAACTGAGAAACCCTGCTTTGTGCAATACCCCGCCAGGCAGTGATCATTCATGTTTGTGAGGGAAATTTTAGAGGCATTAAACACTCTGGACATCTGTTTCCTATCACCAGTGCTGTGAACAGTTCTGCCTCAGTAATGGAGGATTTCACAAAAAAAGCACTCTGAATGACTTTGTTTACAACTTAACCACTTAATTATGCAGAAAGAAAACACCACCAACATCTGGCCAATGGAAGCTCTTCTTTTTTGGTTCAGTGCCACTTCCACTCCCTAGGCTGTGTTTACTATCTCAAGTACTGCTTCAGGTTCTTCCAACTATTACACACCCACCTAACCTCACGGAAGGCTCATCGTGGGTAGAATGATTCAAACGATCATTCATTACATTCTTGGTCAAGCAAGCATTTTTTTTATTCATGTATATCGTTGCCGCTGGGACAAAAGCTTGTATCTCCATTTTTTACTTTTTTGGCATTAGAAAATATTGTCCTTTTACATTGTGTCATAATTTTATGATTTTTTTTTTATTTTATTAATCAAAAAAATGGTGCAAAATTACTTGGAATAAATAATTTCCTGGAATTGTTATGTTCACTTAAACATTAACGATTTTTTTCTTTCCCCTGTACAATTACCATTTTGGAGATTCCAGCAGCAGCAATACCATTTTATTAATTATTTGTCCTTTTTTGTTTTCTTTTATATTTAACCTACCTAAGTAAATAGTTCGTTTCACATTTTTTTAAAAATCTTTTTTTATATATTTACAAGGGATGCTATGCATTGATATGGGAACTATGGGACAATTCCAATATTTACTATTTTTCATGTACATATTTGTTGATGCTGATACATTTATAAAATGCAGAAAATGACTGCTGCACTGATAAAGACCGAGAGAAGCGCATACAGACGGACATGCAGCAAGCCAATGAGAATGCAGCTGACAAAACGTTGATAGTTGTGACCAGCTTAGCGTACAGTAAGTACCATATGGTCTCTGTGTACTTGTGTGGTCTGAGGCTGAGACCAAACTGGGTAACGACAAGCAAAGAGAGCATGAAAAAAATCAATCCACAGCAGAGGACAGCCCTAGAGTCAGGTGTGATAGATGTAGTGAAAGTGCCAAACTGGGCAGTGCAGGATGTTTTGGAGCCTGCTGGGGCCAAATCTAACTGACCACTAAAGGATTTAAAGAGCCCACATTCTTCATTTTTCTTGTATTACATCTCAATAAATGTTGAGAGTTAGAGATGATCCTATGTCTTGTTTAACAGTTTTGTTGGGCATATCAATAATACACAACAACAGTTAATAATTTATTATCCAACACAGATTTCTTTATGTTGAATTTAAGACTTTAGCGGTACTTCAAGACTAATATCAGTAAATAAGCTTTGTTCTTACTGACCAATCTACATTTACCTCATTCCAAAAGTAGTTCAGGCTGAAACTGAGGAGCTAAACTGTTGTAGGCTGAATAGGCAGATATATGCAAATGTGTTGGGTTTTGTGACCTCACAAAGCAGTTTTGCAGTTTAGTTTCCATACATGTGTGTGTATATATACATGCATATAAGAGCAAATGGTATGTTTTGAAATTTTAACAATGTTCACACACTACACTAAACTACAATATTAAAAAAAATAGTAATTCAGGTTTTTCATGATATGGGCCCAATAAAACACATAAAATCCACTAGGAGAGACTATAGAATACTTCGACACTTTGACACCGAGAGACAGGAACTGAGAAAGAAGGACTAAGCAAAAGTGAAATATTACAGATTCACAGGCATGACAACAAAACATACTGTCATGTCACAGAATCATTCAAAATGAAACAGCTGACTGAACTGTCAGCTACATCTGGCCATAAGCAAATGTATACCTGCCAGAATCCACATACACTCACAGGTAAAGCAATGGCAATGTTAGTAGACATTGTTTTTTTTTCATTCTGGCCTCATAATGGCCAGAGAATGTCGAACATTACTTACTGTGGTAAGTTGTGTATTTGCTGGTAAACATTGAGTACGTCTTGAATACTGCGTTCGACTTTTCTCTGGATACAATGACAAAACAGAAAACAAAAAGATGTGGTGGTGAGACAACCAAACAGAAAAGTGACACTGGGCCAAAGCAGCATGCAGACAGAGGTGGTTTTCCAGCATGTGACAGAATGACACTAGCTAACATACTCTTACTAATACACAGTTAATCTGCAGAGCTCTAGCAGTCTGAGACACAGTCCGCAGCAGGGCTGGGAGATATATCAGCTGCAGCATGACACTGACGTGAAATTTGCTAAGTGCTTCAGCTTGTTTAAAGAGAAGAGTTTAAAATATATAAAAAATAAGCAACAGAGTGAATACTGGGAAGGTGGGAGTCTTAAATAAAAGTACAACAGAAAATCTAGAAATTCATTTCAAATCATTCTTTTTTAATGTAAGCTAATTTTTATTCTGTCCCACTTTATCAATAACATATAGATACTTGCTTTTAAGTTTTACGCAGATTGTACCTTTAATATATACCTCATCGTCTGATGCCGTTACACCTTTGGAAAATATCAAGAAATTGCATATCATCAATATCACCCAGCCCTTTTTTACATTCTATCTTCATAATGACCATAGGATGCCAGACCTTACTGTAGTATGCAGTGTATTTGCTGGTAAACATTGAGTATGTGTCCACAGTGTTATGAAGATTTTAATCACTTAATAATATCAATATTAAAAAAAAAAAAAGATGTTTTTTTTCAAGGGTTTTTTTACACTCTCAGAAAAAAGGTATGAAACAGTCACTGGGGCAGTACCCCCCTAGTGACTGGGGTGGTACCCTCAGGGGTATATCTCAGTACCTTTAGTCAGAGAACATAACTGTACCATAATCCATTAAAATTATATTTTCTAAGTTGTATTGACTCCACACATCGTCTCACCTCCAGGCATTTTATTTCATTGTTCTGTTTTTAAACATGAGGTTACATAAAGTACAAACGTGCACTTTTCACCTGGAAAAACTTGTTGAAGGTACACAATTGGACCTTAAAACCACTGTTGTACATTTGGGGGAATTTATACATTATTTGTACCTTGATGAACCAAAAATGCACCTGCACAGAACCTTTACTTCTAACAATGTAGTGAACGCACATATAGAACCATGAATACTACATAGAACCATTTCATGCTCAAATGGGCCTTTGCATGGTGAAATAGTTCTTCAGGTCGATGAAGAATGTGCTGCATACGGTTTTACATGGAACCTTTTTGAAAATGGTTCTATATTGCACCAAAAAAAGAGTTCTGGTACTGTTATGATGTCAAGCTTGTAATAATAGAGGAACGCTTTTTGGTGCTATGTAGAACCATATTCTTCATCAGTCTGACTAACCATTTTAGCACGAAATGGCTCTATATAGAAATCATGGTCCTAAATAGAACCATTGCCTTTACTAAAGAACCCTTGAAGAACCATCTTTTTTGAGTGTGCAGTTAGTCACCCATCACACTGCCCAGATAGCGGATTTGGCGCTAATTAGCTAGCTAGCTGCTGAAGGACATGAGATGGTCTGAGTGGGCATTAGTTATCTATCTACTGCACCACAGAGCAGGGGGATGAAATACTGAAGGAGAGAAGCCGGCTAACAGCATGACACCTGCGATTCACAGCTGTACTGGAAATGTTCCTTTAGGGTTAGGGGCTAAATTCAGAAACGTTTCTCCTCTGCACTCATTCCTGTTTTTAAACGCAGTGGAATGTCCATGTTTTAGCGTTGCTGGAGTATCACCACTAATGGAGAAGCCTTTAGCTAAAGCTTTTACTACACAGCAGCAACATAAATGCAACGTGCGAGTTAACAGAGTCACCAAACCGCTCAGAAAAGTAAGTTAGAGAAGTCAGCCGGTGCCATGCCGTTAGCTTAGCCAGGTAACAGCGTTTCCCTCCGGCTTAGCAGGGCACTGTAGCCTCTCATACGGAGCTGGATTTGGCTTCTTATTCGAATTTCTCGTTCCACCTTAAATAGTGCAGGCGCCAGAATGTAACTGCTGCACGATTTAAGGTGGAACGGGAATGTGAATAAAAAAGCCAACTTCAGCCTCGTGACTCTCATGGCAACAGCTAGATTAGCGCTAGCTAAGTTAGTTACTTGTTCACTGGCGTTACCAGGTGACTGTACAGATCCGCTCACCTGCTCTATTGAAGTGACCGTCTGGACTCCGTCATCCTTAAACAGCTCCGACTGATGGGAGTCACTAAAGCACCGTAACGGCTCCGAGACGGGCTCCATAGTGGATAAAATGACTGAAGCGATATAGAGCGATACAGGCTCACTAAGCCAGCTATTGAGCCAGCAAAGTTGTAGTTTTTTCCCTTAGTTGACAGCGCTAATAGTTTTTGTTCCAGGAGTTACTCGGCGTCTCTTCTTTCTATGTTTCTTGGGACGATGCGCAGATCCGCCGCTCTACAACTCATAAGCCACATAAACTCCATGAAAACTGTGATTTGAAGATCTGCGAAAAACGCAGGTCTGGAGTAGAATGCGCGTCAACACGAACGCACCCAGGGTCAAAGTTCGACGGCTACGGCAAGTCGGAAAGATCAAATCAAGGAAACCGAACGCTTTCTTACAGCTCTAAACATCGGCCAAATCCCAAAATAGCTCGGTACGCCCCACTCAGCGCACTACATAGGGCATAGAACAATGACCAAGAAGTGCACTACGTGTCCAATAGCAAGGCGTTTGGGATGCACAGTTATTTTCTTCAGCGCGTCTTCTGCGTTTTGTTCACTATCAACATTAAAATAGCAGACTGTTGGCGTGGATGTGATTCTCGCACTACGCACTTAAAAGATGGTTCTTTAGTAAAGGGCTCTGTTTAGAACCATGAATTCTATATAGAACCATCACATGCTTAAACTGTTAAGTTCTTCAGATTGATGGAGAATGTGTTGTATATGGATCTTAATCAAGCCTTTTTGAAAAGGGTTCTATATATAGCACCAAAAGGGTTTTACTACTGTTACGTAGTCAAGCTTGTAACATATAGAAGAGCCATTTTTGGTGCTATATAGAACCATTTTCAAAAATATTCTTTCTAGAACCATATATATCATCTGTACTAAGCATTTCACCATGCAAAGAACAATTAAAGCATGAAATGGTTCTATTAGAACAATTGCCTTAACTCAGAACCCCTGGAGGACCATGTTTTACATTATGTTGCTTTAACATTCACAGTGTCAGTAGCCTATTTGTCAAAACGTGATCTTAAATATCAAGCATTAATACAAAATAAATGTCCTATTTTGTTGTGAACTCCGGTGATGGGAGATGCCTCAGTACAGACTGTCTCCGCCCATTTCTCTGGAGGTGACGGTGTAAAGGCTAAGAGCATCCCTGCTCACCGCACCCTTCCTTCACTGCTGCCTGTCAGTCAGAACGCAGGTCTGTTCCGTTTTCACTGAAGGTCTCTTAAGGTCCTGTTTTTTTCTCCTGGCAAATAAAAAGGCACTGACTGGTCTATGGAAAGAGCGAGAAGGTTTTCGCCGAGCGCAGACATGGGCCGCAGCTGTTTCGCTGGGAATCCGTCGCTGCCTTAGCTAACTGCTCCCACACGACATCATGGCCAAACAGTATGATGTGCTCTTCAGACTGCTGCTGCTGGGGGACTCTGGTGTGGGCAAAACCTGCCTCTTATGCAGATTTACGGACAATGAGTTTCATCCTTCGCACATTTCCACCATCGGTAAGGACGTGCTGAGTTACTTTCCCTGTGTGAGAACTTGTTATATCCTGTCGGAGCATCTTTTCCGTGAGCTCTGACACATGGAGTAAACAGTACCATATTCACTGTGCACACTAAAAAAGATGAATCTTTAATAAAGGCAGCGGTTTTATTTAGAACCATGAGTTCTATATAGAACCCTTTCATGCTTAAATGGTTCTTTGTATGGTGAAATGGTTCTCCAGATGGATGGAGAATGTGTTGGATATGAATTCTTATTTTTGAAAATGGTTCTGTATAGCACCAAAAGGGGTTCTGCTATTGTTACAAGCTTGACATCGTCAGCATTGCCTTTACTAAAGAACCCTTGAAGAACCCTCTTTTGTAAGTGTGTGCTGCTGAACCTGTGAACTGGTCGACATCATATCAAGAAATGGTCAAATAGGCCACACTAGGCTCGATTAGTGGATTGGTCATCAACAGGCGTTGGTCATTTTTTTAATGGTGGGACAGGGATTCAGTCTATAATATAATATAATATAATATAATGCTTGATTTTTTTTAGCGTGTTGCTATTTGTAAAAGGATCACTCATTTGAAGACTACACATCAAGTCCATCATGTTAAAGGGCCCATATCACGGAAAACCAACTTTCCCTTACTTTTTAAATAAAGGAGTTTGAACGAATACATAAACATTAATACAGTTTAAACATACCATTCAGTTCCTACGGCCCATATATGGAGATTAAGCCTGTTTTGAATTCATTCTTCCTGTGATGTCTGATTCCTGTGATGCCTTCAAGTCCTGACAGAAATATCGGATTTACGAGATGAATGCACATGAGCGCCACCACAATGTCATATTTACTAGTGGGAGACTTAGATTTTTCAACGATTCAATGATATCCGCTGATAAACTGGCTGTATTTCAGTTATTCATCAGCCACAACCTTAACGCTGCAGGCTGAAACCATCCACATATGTAAATACAGATAGAAGCACGTTATGCAAAATACAAAGACTCTTGTTAACGCCACAAAAATAAAAGTAAACCAAAAACATTATTTCTAGTGTATCTTATTTCCAACCAAAACCACTTGAACACAGATCAAATCGTACTTACGACCTCCAAAGTCATAAGGAGGAACTTTAGAGGAGGACCTGAAGGCATCTTGTTTACATACTGAAGTCTATCCAGCCTACAGCACTTTAGCCCCACCTATTCCACTTACAGCTGTTTAGTCCTGCCCATCTGTGTTGAAGCTATAAGGAGTGTTTCACCTCTGAGTGCTTTTTTAATGAGGCACAGCCAATCAGAACAGAGGTCATTTATTATATAGGTCTTTAAGGCACAGTAACAAAACAGCCTGTATAATTCTAAGTGATGAAAAGAGTCAGGTAAAATTAAATTATGACATAAAACCACACAAATGTTATACGTGGACCAAGAAAAATGTAGAATCTTTAAGGGATCTTTAAATTAGGTAGCCTACTTCTGTTTATTGTGACCTGTGGTATTAAACATTTCTATACGTTTCCATACATACATTATTTGTTTGGTAGCTTTAATATCATTCACCTTCATATATCCCATGATGATTATCATTATCAATTAGGGGTGTAACGATACATACAGTCCATGATTCGATTCCTGATACTGGGTTCACGGTTTAATATTATAATAATATTTTGAACAAAATTTGAATGAAGAAAAATGACGACTGTGTCTATGTTGTTGCACAGGTTACATGGCATTGTGGTTGTTGATTGGTGCTGGTTGTTTGCTAACTTTGGCTGTTGTTTGGTGCACAAACAATGCAGTTGTATTAAATGGCATCATAATAGAATGTCCATTCTCCGTCATGCACATTGTCACATTTTTGTTTCGCAATATCTCTATGTCACAGTGCATTGTTACACACCTATTATCAGTTGTAATTGACTGGGTTTGAGGGAAATAAGCAGCAGTTGTTAAAGACAGTTTAATACTGTGGTTCTTCATTATGGCCTTGGATTTATTCAGTAAGAGCATATCTGAAGCATGAACAGGCACAAATAAAGTCTTACCCAATGATAGTTGTGGGTAACAGAAAATTGGCACATTGTGTTGTTACATGTTTAGCACCTTAAGACCCGAGCTTTGTTTTTTAGTGCATTTATTTCTCTGTGTCTATTTACAACTCATAGCACCTGCTAACTATGAAAAGCTATTAACATCTTTTGAGGAAGTAGATTGTGAAAAAATGACGTCCTCGTATGAGGGCTGCACGATATAAACATTTTATTTAACATTTTAAAATGACTTTTAAGAATAAAAACAATTTGTGATCTTTCAGAGGGACCTGTGTAGTTAAAACAATGAACAACAACAAGAACAGTGACAACACAAACATTTGCCACCTGTTCCTATCTGTTTTCACATCTGTTTTGAATGCATTATCTCTTCATCCTGGATGGAGTAGTCTGTCCATATTTGGTTATGTCCTTACAGCATACAGAACAACTACAAATATATTCAAAACATATTTTCAGAAATAACAGTTGTTACCATTCTGCATTTTTTAGTTGGTCTTAAAGTGTCTCTTTAGCTCTTGTAACTCTTAAAAAAGAAACTTTATTTTTTAAATCCTTTTTCAACATTGAGTCTAAGATTAAAGATATATTTAAGCTTTTTTAAAGAGTTTCTTTGCCGACTGACTTACATCAGTAACAGCGTTGGTTTTTTTTTAGCAAAGAATGATCAAATCTATAGAATATCATTAACTAGCATCCATGCTGATGGAGTGAAGACATTAAGGACATTTTATTGATTTACTTTGAAATGTATATTTTTTATAATTTATTTCGGTCTAAAATGTAGGTAATTGATTTTAACTTTTTAAATGACCTTGTCAGTCAACATAACAGTATCTTTGAAAATAAAGGAAAATGAATTAGAAATCTTTCTTTTTTCCTCATGATATTCAGGAAATTTGGATGATGCATCTTCCTGTTGAATATGTGCCTAGTGGAATATCCTAATGCTTCATAGAGGTGACTGTGTTTAGGAGTGAATGTTGAGGTACACAAATTTTTTTTCAGAACCTATAATTGATGTCAAGAAATGGCAAATACGCCAGTGTAGCCTTGATTATTGGACTGAAAAAAAAATTGTTCCTCAACATTCACTCAGTGCTGTATCTTGCATTATATTTTATTATATTATATAGATTAAATCTGTGTACCACAGTAATTAAATCAATATAATATAATGTAATATAATGTAATGTAATATAATGTAATGTAATATAATACATTACAATAATATATCATGCTTTCATAACCTATAATTGGTGACTCATGAAAAAGGATGCTTCAAGCACTAGATGTTTAATGGAGTCACACGTTAATGCAAAATAATGACGATTTTTGAAGGGTTATTATGATTACATTTTAAAGTGAAGTGTAGGTATAGCAGGCCTGGACAGACAGAAACTCTGTGCTGTAAACAGGTTTTATTCATTTTTTAAGTTCTTTATCTGAAACAGGCTACTAGGTTGTTGTGACAGTGTACATGTTGTCGCTGTCAGAACAAAATCTGTAGAAAGAAAAACATTCTTAACTTATAATGGAAGTTAATGTAAAAAAAGATGTTTTTCTAAATGATTTTAATTTCCGTTGGTCCATTCTTCATGAGATTTTAACACAATGTAAAGGGCGACTCCTGTTGATTCTACTGCTGCACAGACTCGAACTAGTTGATCAAAGCCATTGTGTAACCTGCTTTTCCCCTTTTTTCTGTATTTTAATATTTTATACTTATGTTAACACTTTGTTCTCTGTTCTTGTTGCTCTTTTGTTATTGTTTGCTATCTAGTGTCGGCCAGAGGAAGATGGGTTCCCCTTTTGGTTCCTTTCAAGGTTTCTTACTCTTAGGGGGTCTTTCCTTGCCAATGTTGCCATTGGCTTGCTCACAGGGGCTTGGACCCGTTTTTTTCTGTAAAGCTGCTTTGCGACATTGCTTGTTGTAAAAAGCACTATATTAATAAACCTAAACAGAACATATATATATACACAACATGTTTCTAAAAGATAGAGAGGTTGGGAAGTGGTAATATAAAATTTTATTATGTCTGTTTTTGATTCATAAACCCACACAAACCTCAGGAATGGCAGAAAACAAACTGAGATAAATGTAGCAGATAGGCCCTTTAAACATGTCTTGTTAAGGAGATGTGGAGTTTACCTGCTTCCACCTGCAAAATATTGATGCAACACATTGAATCTAGATTCAGCAGGTAGATTTGCTTGTTCTTCAAGGAAGGCCTGAAGCCAAAGTCCTTCAAAGACTTGCATATGGTACTGGATTAACAGGATCTGTTCTGTTCCACAGTTGGCTGGGACATCCCCACTGATTATATTCTCTTCAGTAACTAATGCCACATGACTCTCTCTGGCAATAACAAGCTAGTTTTTTTCCTGCTTTTCAGAGATATTGTGCCTTATCACTCCTGTTTTCATTGTGCTGAACTGTAGCCTAAAATGAATGAAGAATCTTTCCACTGAGGTGTTTTTTTCATGCTTGTAAGATTTTATCTGTGTGGATTCCTTTGTTTTGATTACACTTCAACCTTTAGAGAGGCAATACAGTTTTTAAAAGCAGGCACTGGAACATTAATCTCTTCCCCTGGCTCTGAGAGATGGCTTGAGACCTGCCCTAAATCATGGTTCAGTAAGCTGTACAATAGGCCTGTGAGCCGTATATATTTTAATAGAAGGCTCTCAAGGACCAAAGTGCTGTTAATTTAAAAGACTGAGATGGCAGTATCAGTCGAGGATACAGGATAGTTCTTTAGTATGGATACTAAAGGCATAACGATTTTAATACAGCATTGAAAAATTGAAAATTAACGTTTGAAACAGTGTACTGAAATTTAAAACTGTATCGCTGATACACTCCTCTGTCTTTTCTGAGGGTCTCTTATTTACCATCTTCTGTGGCATACATGGAGACGGTTATCCATTAACATATTAGCATGTATGCGTTCAAATGCTTGCGAATGTCCATGCTAACCTACTGCCAACTCCACATTGAGAACAGTTACGTACAGCCTGACTATAGAAAGCATTCAAAGGAAAGGCCACTGTGGGACATGTTGTATCTTTAGTTAATTCAGATAGTCATAGTGTTTGTTTTATGTAGTTTAGGTCAGCAATTAAGTTAGAGAGACATATGAAAGGAATCACTGGTCTCTTGAGGTAATGATAGCATTTAACCTTGGTTTAGCTTTTAGCATACCAGCCTGCATCGGCATGGTGTGCCTCCGTCGGTCAGCTGCATCATGCAGCAGCAGGGCCTCGCGGTCTTTAGCTTCAACAAAGCTAAGAAATCTGCAGCTCTGCTATTGACAGCATGAATGATTGTAATATTTACTAAACCCTGCCGAGTCTGAAGCTCAGAGCTGTGAGTGTGAGTGAACAGGATGCACGTATGAGACAAATTACTTCAGAAATTCACATTTGAAACAGCATTCAGCACCTTTTTTGCTGAGCAGCTGCTGCGTGCTTACATGCTGTTTTGCACAATAAAATGTTTTTTTATTTAATTAATTTGTAAAATATGGTTCTTATACTAATTATATGATAGTAAATACTAATTACAAAAATAGTTTAGTATTAAGCATCTCAAATAGTTACATTTTGGTATTGGTATTGGTCCTGGAAGAAAGAAATGGTATTAGTGCACCTCTGCTTTTTTCCAGTCAATATAGTGGGGCATGGCAGCGTTTAGTCTTGTGATGCCCCTGCTGTGCTCTTTTAACATCCAGAGTACAATCAATAACACAAGTAAAACAACCTAGCAAGAGAAATGCTGACCAAGCTGTGTAATGTAACTATTTTCTTTGTGAATTGTTAGCATGACAATTTTCAGCCTGAGAAAATGGATTCTATTACTCATTTAAAATCTTTCTTGTTCCAGGGTTGTACAGTTAGAATTGTGTGTTGAATACTGTGTAGTTAATGGCTGCTTGTTGTGTTAAGATATCATATCCTCTCCCTGTACAGCTGAAAGGGTCACTGTTGAGTGAATTTTATGCTAACAAAGAACGTAGATCATGTCAGGTCCATTCCCTTCCAGCACTGCGGCGTTATCTTATCATCTCATAGTGCTCGTAAAGTGTGTTTAAGGTAATTGGTGTTTGAATATGTTTGACAGGTCCTGTTTGAATTTGTGCTCGCTTGACAGTATGGCCTGCCGGGGTGTTTCTCAGTATCTTCAGTGACAAGGTCATGAGTTCTTGGGCTGGTAAGGGGGAAGCTGGGTGATAAATGATGTTTTCACCAATTTAGAAATTTTATTTACTGTATCTGTATTATTGCTTTAAATGTAATGTTTTCAATAGTTTTCCTGCAGATCCACTCTTACAGCATTCTGCATCTTTCTATTTTTTCTTTGATGTTTAAGTGTGCCAGAACCACCATAACTGCATTTTAAATGACTCGTTTTATTTAAAAATGTTTTTGTTGCTGTGCCTTTACGACTGATATACTGTTGTATGCAAAGGTTTGGACACCCCTGGTCAAGTAACATGTTTTGTTGATGTTAAATTCAGCAAATAAACATTAATTGTGCATTAAAATGTCTTCTTTGTAGAAGATGTGTTAACTTATTTTGACTTAGAAAATCAACAAATGTGTGATATGACTAGGGGTGCCCAAACTTTTACATACAACTGTATGCAAATGACCTTTGTTCTGATTGGTTGCTCTGTATTGCGACTCCTGAATTACTTTTTATGAATTTAACTCGAATGGGCAGTGCTAAACTGCTGTGTGATGAATAGATGGATACATGTAAGTGCATTACATGACATCACAAAAACAATGAAATCAACATGGACTGTTTTTGCAGATTAGTTCCATACACAGGGACAGTGTCAGTGTACACGATTCCACAATAAGAAAGACACAGAGCAAAAATGGCATCCATGGAAGAGCTTCAAGGCACAAACTACTGCTGACCAAAAGGAGCACAGAGGCTCGTCTTGCATTTGCCAAAAAACATCTAGATGACCCCCAAAACGTTTGGGACAATATTCTGTGGACTGATGAGTCAAAGCTGGAACTTCTTGGAAGACATGGATTCCATCACATCTGGTGTAAAGTTAACACAGCATTCCACCATAAGAACATCTTTCCAATAGTCAAACAGATGATGGTAGTGTGATGGTCTGCGGCTGCTTTGCTTCTGCAGGACCTGGACGACTTGTCATAATTGATGGAACTATGAATTCTGCTCTCTACCAGAATATCCTGAAGGAGAACGTCGGTTTGTGACCTAGTCCACCTCTCAATGGCTCAAAAAAGCAAAATTAAGGTTTTAGAGTGGTTGAGTCAAAGTCCTGACCTGAATCCTATTGTGCTGCTGTGGCAAGACCTTAAACAGTCAGTTATGTTTGAAAACCCTCCAAAGAAGCAGAATTAAAACAATTCTGTGAAGAAGAGTGGGCCACAGTGATGGTAAAGACTCATCGTAAGTCGCATACATTCAACTGCAGTTATTGCTGCCAGGAGCGGCACAACCAGTTATGAGGTTTAGTGGGGCAATGACTTTTTCACATGCAAGAATAATTTCACAAATAATACCTGCTCTGTGGTGGTCCTGTGGGGGTTCTGACCTTTGAAGAACAGGGTAAAAGTATGCAGAGAAACAGATGGAGTACAGTCTGTAATTGTAGATCTACAAAGTGCACCTATATAGTAAGTGGGGCTGATAAAATGAACAAAGAGTGTAGAAACAAGGTGGTACTTAATGAGGTGGCTAGTTGGAGTATTAATCACAATGTTTATCTGTACTGCACAGCTGTCAATTAGAGATAACAAAAGACTTGATAGGTAATGGAGCTTTCATGTGTATGATATTAAAATATACATCATGATCTAATGTAGTATTGTGGTTAATGTTCATGCTTTTAAGTAATGTAGCTCTCTAGTTGCTTCAGTCTGAACTGATCATTGAAATCTGGGATCCAAAACCACAAAGTCCACCATAGACAGAGGTTTTCTGTCTTATTGCTTTCTTTTAAATAACTTTTAAATTACATTTTGTAATTGTTGTACACTTATGAGATTACTCAGATCTAAACATTGTTTTACTTTTTTTTAAAGTGATTTTTCAAGTAAAATTATCTCACTATATTGGCAGATAATTTTGCTTGTTATGAGAAGTATGCTTGAAACAAGCAAACTTATCTGCTGATAAAAACACTAAAAACAAGTTTAAAAACATCACTAATATTCTTATAATAATCATATGAAATGAGCAATATTAGATACATTGACTATATTTAACATAATTTCACTTGCCAAGATATCATTTTTTGCAGTGCATCAAGGTAAAAAAAAGTCTATTTTTATTTCAAGTTGTCTTTAATTGGTGTGCTGTTGTCGACCAGGACGCCTTGAAATCTGCAGAGCCAAGCACCTGGCAGTGAAAGCAGCAATATTTAAGGAATTCTGGAAGCTGTAGTGTATGATGTGACAGTAGCAAAGTGCCTTTCATCCATAACCATGAGGTCAAAGGTTCAGATCTCTCCAGTGGATACCAATGAAATAAATTTGCTGTGAATACCAGAGACATGGCAGTCCATAACCTGTCATTGAACTGCAGAATAATATCACAGAGTTATAATTGATCATTACATGACATAAATGTTTCTGTTTTTGGATTTAGACGTTCCTTATAGTGTTGAGTCAAACCACTTGATAGTGAGTTATAGAAAGATGAGACTGAAGCTCTTTCATCACTGAAGTGTGCTGAGTCTCTGGTGATAGTCATGGCCTTCTTTGCGTCACTGGCTGACCACAGTTTAGTCAGTTTCATCACCGCTCCTCCTGCTTCTAACTGGAGCAGAAGCGTACTGACTCCCCTTACTTTAGTATTACTTAATGTAACTAATTTCTGATGAGCGTAATGGAAAGCTTATTAGTCTTTTCATCATAAAAAAGGTTCATTACTGCAGGGCTTAAAACAAATGGCACACTGAATGATCTGACTGGTATTTGTACTCTTACAGCAGTTCTGATGAACCTCTAGTGACATAACAATGGTGTTGAAATAATAGAAATTGGATGCTTTCCATAAACTATAATATATTACTGTATATTCATTGTGTCTGGAATTTCTTCAAATGTGTAGCACTATATATGCCCTGTGTAGGCCATATATAGTGCTCTGCGAATATTTTTGGCACCTGAGAAAATTAGATTAGATATTTATCTGGGCAGTAAATGTTTATTTGCTCAGAAAAGAAACACTACTTTTCTATTAAAACAGATATTTTAATACAATAAGTAATTCGTTTGTGAATGTTGGTGTGTGTCCCTGTCCTTGAAGAAGCTCAGCATTAATTGTAGTTATCATCCAACACCTGGTTTGGCTAATCAGTGCTTCATTATGCAAGTCAAGTGTGTTGGTGATGGGGTTAAAAATCCATGTCCTGGCTCAGGGGGGCATCTGGATCCAAACTTTGTTCTCCAAACTAGCTCACAAGATATCAAGTACTTTTTTAAAAAAATAAATGCTTTTTACTTTTTAGTGTATTTATATTTATTTGCATGTATTCTAATGACATGTTTTTTTTTATGTGACATGATGTTTTTACATGCACAAGCACACATATTGCCCAGATAAATGGTTTTAAATAATGCACTTAGGTTCCTAAGGCTTTTGCACAATACCGTACCTGAATTTGTCTTACAGGAATTTTGCAGATTTAGTGCTTAAACTGTCTGAGTAGACTCCATGTTGGGTTTTACATCATATGGCTGTATCTTCATTTGTAAGTCAATGAGCCTAATGTTTTTTCTCTTTGTATCCAGGGGTGGACTTTAAAATGAAGACATTAGAGATAGACGGCATTAAAGTGAGAATACAGATATGGTAAGTAAGAGTGTTTCTGTGTCTACAAAAATTAACAGTACTGAATAGGTACAGACAGTATATTACACGTTTTAGTCCACGTTAATAGATAACAATATGTCATACAATATCAGTAACCACATAATCTACCGGAGATTGCTTAAAGCTGCACTATTTAGGTTTTGGGGATTTGGAGACCTCTTTGGTGGAAATGTGTAATTGCACGCAATGTGCAGAACACATTTTGGAATGTTAGCTGTGATTCTGATGATTGTGAGCTGTTGAAAAAGTATTCAGAAAGAATTTTGTGAATGTGTGTCTTCCGAGGATGTAAGTGAATTATCTGCAAACCCAATTCCCAAGAAGTTGGGACAGTATAACAATGAAACAGAAAACAATGGTTATTAAATTTTGTTTGATCTGTGTTAAATTAAAAACAATACAAAAACACAGTACTTTATGTTTTACTTTATGAATTTGGGTGTATTTTTTAAATATATACTCATTCTGAATATGATGCCTGCAACCTGTTTCAAAACATTGGGTCAGGAGAATGTTAAACACGGTGTTACATCACCTTTCCTTTTAACAATACTTCATAATTGTTTGGGGATTGAAGACACCAATTAATCCAGTTTTCTTCAGTTATACAAGCCTTCAGCTGTGCAACCGTGTGAGGCCTTCATTATTGTATTTTACACTTCACAATGCACCACATGTTTTCAATAGAAGACAGACAGAGCAGTCTAGCACCTGCACTTTCTGATTATTCAGCAATGCTGTTTCAAAAGGGGCAGAATGTTTCTTGGCATTGTCATGTTAAAATAAGCTATTGTCTCTGACTTTACCCCTAAAAGGCAGCATATGTTGATCCAAAATGTGTATATATCTTTCAGCGTTAATGGTGCCTTTACAGATGTGCAAGTTACTCATGCCATGGACACTAATACAAGTCAAGTCAAAGTTTATATATAGGCTATACCAGGCGTTGTCACAAAGCAACTTTACTGAAAAAAAATCTTGAGCAAGCCAAAGATGACATTGGCAAGGAAAAACTCCCTAAGAGCAAGAGGAAGAAACCTTGAGAAGAACCAAGACTCAAAAGGGGAACCCATCCTCTTCTGGTCGACACTGGATAGCGAACAATAACAATAGAGAATAAGGTTTGACCACCCCAATAAGTATAAGATACGGAAAAGGCGAAAAGCAGGAGAAGTAATGTCTATGATAAAAAATGCAGTAGTATCATCTGAAAGGTCAGTTCATGCAGGTTAGGTTTGCACAGCGTTGTACAGCAGAAGGTCCATGGTGGCCAAACTGGTCCAGAAGGCTGGCGAGCAACTGGCACCTGATCAGAGCAGATGAAGTAACAGCATCAGACCGCACAGGATGGGCAGTTATTTAGCTCGGCAAAGAAACACACAGTTAGTTCTGTTATGAGTGGCTGATTACAGTACAGTGTTAGCAGAGTGCAGCAGAGACTCTGGCAGGTCAAGCTATTACAGCCTAACAAAAGGGAGAGCCAGAACGTAACAAAGACATGAGAGCTCTCTGAGATGTCAATGCCCTTCCGCTCTACCGCCAACAAATTTGAGTTAAAGCGTGTGAGCAGCGGGACGATAGCACCCACATTCCCAGTGTACCATGATACTCCATCTGTGCCCCTATACCATGACAGACCCTGGCTTTTGAACTTTATGCTGGTAATAATCTGGATGGTTCTTTACTTCTTTGACCCAGAGAACACAACGTCTACCCACTTTTTTCGCAGGCCTACCTAAAGGTTTACGCCACTGCCTCAGCTTCTCCTTGCACATAAAGGACGACACCTTTCCTGGATGCTCCTTTTATACCCAAACATGAAACCATCACCTCTTTAAATTGTTGAATATTCAACAACATTCAGCAACATTTCTACTCTTAAATTGCTCCTGTCCTAACATGTTTTGGAATGTGCTGCAGACATTAATTTCAGAATGAGCATACACTATATAGGTAAAAGTATTGGGACACACCTCCTAATCATTGAATTCAGGTGTTTCATTCTGTCCCATTGCCACAGGTGTACAAAATCAAGCGCATAGTCATGCCAAAGAATGGGTCATTCTAAAGAGCTCACTGAATTCAAGTGTGGTACAGTAATAGGATCCCGTCATTGCAGAAACTCAATGCATGAAATTTCTTCCCTCCTAGATATTCCACAATCAGCTGTGGTATTATTGAAAGGTGGAAGGAGTTAGGAATCACAGCAACTCAGCCATGAAGTGTCAGACCGCGTAAAGATACAGAGCGGGGTCGCCAAATGCTGAGGTGCATAGTGCATAAAAGTCGCCAGCGCTCTGCTGACTCAATAACTGCAGAGTTTCAAACCTCCTCTGCCATTAACATCAGCACAAAAACTGCGTGGCAGGAGCTTCATGCCATGGGTTTCCATGGCCAAGCAGCTGTAGGCAAGCCTTACATCACCAAGCACAACACAGAGCGTCAGATGGGGTGATATAAAGTACACCGCCACTGGACTCTGGAGCATGAAATGTACGCTTCGACGCTTCTGACTTTTAGTCTTTCAGTTTAAAATTTAGGCCTTACAGGGTGACTCGCACAGCATGTTTTAGAGGTTTTTCCTTTCTTTGAGTAATGCTGCTTCTTTCAATTTTAACAAAGCCAATCTTACATAGTGCAGCTTTAAAAACTCAGCACTGTTTGAGGGAAATGTGTGATTTAAATTAGACATAAATTGTTAGCTTCTGTTGCTTGTTATTAGCCTCCAGTGCAAAACTAAAGACTAAAGCTATCACTTTAGTAGTGATGTGCTTAGATCAGTCCTAACTATCGTGCGTCTTGGTTTTCTGTAGGGACACAGCAGGTCAGGAGAGATATCAGACCATCACTAAGCAGTACTACAGACGAGCACAGGTGAGCTTTCAACATCCATCACACTAAATCAGTACAAACATAGCCTAATTCCTACTACACCACTCTATTGCTCCGTGTGTATTCTTCTGGGTGTCTGTCTGATAACTCAACTACATGGCAGACATGGATGGCTGTGCTTTGTGATTTTCACCCGAAAGTCATCGATGTTAAACTAACCTTTAGTTTAAACTGGCCTCAAGTGACCAGTTATTTTCCATTCTTATTTTATTCTCCACTCTTATTACTTAACTATAAGAATAAATCAGTGATTTTTAAACCCAATTTTCTCCCCAAGTTAGTTGTGGCCAATTCCCTCCTGCTAATTAGGTGTTTCCCCATCACATGATGCTACCAAGCTGAGAGGGTGAAGGCTGGCACATTGTTCCTCCAAGACATGTGAGGCGGCACCACATCCTGGTGAACTGCTGCTAAAGCAACAAGTGCTCAGCACGCTTGGAGGAGAACACTATCAGCCAATTTTGTTGCATTAGCTAACAGTTACCTGCATTGGCTAGTGATGGGGCGAGAGGGAGGTGCATCCTACCCACCCAACTGACACCAAACAAAAAATAGACAAGAGAAAACACAAATACTGCAGAAGCATCTCATATACTGCAGTAGGGTACAAAACTGTTGTAAAGATGTTATGTTTGTTTCACATTTTATTCTTTCCACTCATCATAATTTTAACACTATAAAGTTTGCTCAGTAGGGGGACCAGTGCACTCACTGCCACTGAATGATGTCATTTAAACATCTGAATGAATTGGGATGTGATTCATGTAAATGACATGTAAATGAGGTGCTGGTAGGCTGGCACTTGATTTCATGCACTGAAGCTGATTCATCTTTTTCGATAATCTCTGCTTGTTTCCACATTGTGCCCAAGTTTCATGAATCAGATGCAGAGTAGTTTGTATATCATTCAAGGCTGTCAAATCTGCACTTTTTAATGCAACTTTAAAGGTCATTATTTTTATGATATTTTTTTCCAACTGACTCAGTAATATGAATTCTTTCATTTTTAATACAGACCTTATTACATTATGCTTGTGTAAAAACAAAATTGATTGCAAACAGCGTTATAATTATAATGCCAATCATCTGTGTCATGAAACATTTTCCCTCCTCAGGGAATCTTTCTGGTGTATGACATCACGAGTGAACGCTCCTTTCAGCACATCATGAAATGGGCCAGTGATGTAGATGAGGTGAGACTTCATAAAAGCACATGCAGCTCCATTCAGAATAACAAATCTACTACTACTAAAGGCTACTACTTATCATAATACTAGTAATAATAATAACTGATGTCAGCATCAACATTATTATTGCTTCTATCATTTTTGTGACTGTATCTGTTTATTATGTGTATATAATGAAATAATGTCCCATTATTCTGCTACTGCAGCAGACTAATGTCCCCTTTGGGGATCAAAAAAGTACCTCCATCCATCCAACCATCCTTCCATCCATCCTTCCATCCATCCACCCTACAGTGGTACTTTAGGAAAACGTACAGTCATATGCAAAAATTTGTGCGCCCCAAATTACTTTTTTTTTTTTTTCAAAGCGAAAATAAGTTAACACATCATTTACAGAGAACGCACAGTTTAATACACAATTACTGTTTATTTACTGAACTTAACACGCTGGAAAAAAGTGCATAAAACGTGTCCTGTGCAAAAGTTTAACATTTTATGTTTTGTATTTTCCAATACATTAAACTCAACGAATAAATAGAAATTATGCACTAAGATTTGCAGATAATGTTATATATATTCTCTGTAGATGATGTGTTAACTTAGTTTCACTTTAAAATTCAACAAAATGTGTAATTTGAACAAGGCTGTTCAATTTTTTGCATACAACTGTGTGTCACAGTCTTTTTAGCTAGAAAAACAATGTTTGCATCACTTTGTTAGTACCTTGTAGTATGAGTTCAATTCTAAGGCCTTGCACAGTGTTGCTGACAGAAAATGAGCTACACAGGGAATAAACATTGCTGGTACATTAGATCTACCTACGACACTTGTAAGCCATTTCATCAGAAACATCTATATATAGTACAGTTGTATACATAGGGTTCTACTTTGTAGGTTTACAGTTACTGACTATAGCCCATCTGTTGCTGCACAGTTGATCAGCCCCCTCTACCTCATCCGTTAATGAAAGACCACCATAGGACCACCTCAGCTGTTATTTGATGGACTACTCTCAGCACTGCAGTGACACTTACATGGTAGTGGCATTGTAGAAGTGTGGTGCTGGTATGAGTGGATCAGACACAGTACACGGTTGGTGTACCTAAAAATCTGGCTATTCTTACTCTTTGCATCAGTTCTAGTAAAGCTGTACTGAGAATCTCTCTCATCCCCCACCCCCTCTGTATTTCTGTCAAGCTTAGCCGAGTCTGTTTCTGTCTCTCTGCCTCAGAGCTCATACTTCCTCCTGAATCTTTTATGCTAATACTCTCTCTGTCTCTGATCAGTATGCTCCTGACAAAGTCCAGAAGATTCTTGTTGGGAATAAATCTGACGAGGAACAAAAGAGGCAAGTGGCCACAGCGCAGGGCAACAAGGTTTGTGTTCATAGTGTTCATATGCTCTCTTACTATTTCTGCCATCAGTCTCATTCTACAGTGATCACTCAATGCTAGGGTGACCTAATATTTCATAGTCCAGTGCAGGAGGGGTCAGGATGGTGGTGAAGGTCATAGAAATTTACCACATATATACATTTATTAGACTGTGTCTTTTTTTATCTGACATGCTTTCTTTCACATAAAGGAGATGGTCTATACACCCATTCTTTTTAAACATGGACACATGTTAACCACAACAGCATGCTACTTCTCTAACATATCAATAGAAACAGAAAGGCTTTACAGGGGAATTCCACCTTTTTCAAAAGTTCTGCATAATGCAGTAGTTGAGATGTCAAATGAACTTATTCAGAGTGGTCTGATGTGAAATAGCACATTGTATAGAAACTTACTGACTGAGATTTCTTCACAGTGATAGTGAAAGAAACCAGAGGTCATGATGTCTATAACACAAAAAAAAAATAAAATTTACTGTCCCGAATGGCCAGTGAACCTTCACAGGTTTTAATATTTTTTAAAGGTAATGTTGATAATGAAAAAATAGTGTCGAACCTGAAAAAATATGTTGTTTTGCCAACAATGGCCTGAATGTACCTTTCCAGCATATATGGATTTTAAAATATGCATTTTAGGCCAAAATCTTGTTGCACAACTACCATAAAACAATGTCTCAGGCATTTAATGCAATAACTTTCTGAGAAGGAGCTTTTAGAGGCATTTAACTCCTCAGATTTCTGGCTCCTGTCACCACCACTTTGAATAATTCTAGTTAGTAGTTTCTCTAGAACTGAGAATTTCAGCTCAGACCACTCTGAACGACTTTGTTTACATCTCAGATATTTAATCATGCAGACATTTTGGAAAATCACAGGAATTTTCCTTTGACACTGCCAGTAGATGTCACCTTAATGGGAATTGATGGAGACTGGAGATATCTTTTCCTTGAAAATGTAAACTCTTTCTAAAAGTCCTAAATAAACATGAACACCTTATAGACACTGAGTTACAATTACATACTACATTGCTTAAAAAGCAGTTATTTAGCAAGCGTACCTGCCTGAAGTGTAGTTGTACCTGCTTGCATTCCTATTACTATGTTTGGGGAGGGAATGCGCTGATCTACACCTTCACCAGCATGGTGAAAATATTTAATAACAAATTAAAAATTAAGGCATTTTATGACAGCAGGGCACAATCTGGTGACATTGTTTTCTATGATTGGCTCTATTTCGTCGGACAAACCACCACCAGTTACCTGCAATAAAAATTCTGAATTTCAGCAGTGTAAAAAGCAGGTTCATCTGAAATGTGGAGCAATTTAATACAATAAGTCAGGACCCTTAAAACTGAAATAAAGGACATCTAGTTACCCTAAACATCCACACCATAAATACAGTAACCTTACTGTGCAAAGATACATGTCTATCTTTTCCTTTCTTTTAACTGCAGCTTGCTAAAGCCTATGGAATGGACTTTTTTGAGACAAGTGCCTTTACCAATCACAACATTACAGAGGTACGTGTTACCCTTTACATTTACTGTCCAATTCTGAAAGCACTGTTCAATATAGGACATTTTTACCTACACTTTTAGACAAGCTGTAGTTTTTTTTTGTTTGTTTGTTTTATTTTGCCTCATTTCGCTTGACGAGTGGTGAAAAATCAAATGTACTCAATTTCATTGTATCCCAATGCAGTCAATCAGCTAAGACATGTTTGGTGTCTAAAATGTGCCCAAGTTTTACACTGGAGCTACGAGGCTAATGTAACTAATATGCCAATTAGCACTGTGCAAACTGCACATCTAAATCATCACACACTTCCTTCAAACCATTGTGAGTTGATCATTAATCTCAAATAGACTTGCTTATGTGGTTTCTGACATTGTATGACGTACTATTATCTATAAAGAGAACTACAGAGAAATTTTAGGCTTAAAGGTGGCTAGCTGACTGACACTTGATATAAGGGCAAACTTGTGCAAATATGATTTTTCACCAAACAATACATTTAACAGTCAACTACCAACATTTGTGAAGACTCCGAGGTGAACATCTGTGCCACATGTACCAAAGAAAACCCAGTTTTGCTTTGACGGCTGTAATTCTCTCTTTTCTCACTGTTCTTTTGTTTCAGTCTTTTACCCGATTGGCTGAGCTGGTTTTGCAAGCCAATAAAAAGGACCTTGATGTCCTGCGGGTGTCCATCAACGACAAGCTCAATCTTGCAGCCCTTGAAGAGGAGGAGGGCGTGTGTGACAGCAGCAGCGACGCCCAGAAGACCTGCTGGTGCTGAGGACTGGACTGGACTAGATGTCGCGCCAGCACATTTTCTTTTCAAACTGACCTTGTGTTCCTGTTGAACGTTTTGTTCCAGTGCCACCACTGCTGAATTTCATTGTTAGGCTGAGTTTGGTGCCTTCCTGTTCATCACTTCTGTAATGAATGAAGACAGAGTCGTAGGCCTCTGAGGTCGTGCCTCGTTCTGTTGTCGGCAGCCTGCCAAAATAGGGACTCTGTCTAAGCTATTACTGTCAATGGGAAAAATGAAAGGCATTTTTGAAAATCAACACTATCACACCCTGTGGTAAACATACAGTATTAAAAGCTATTACATTTTGTCCTATGTACATTTTTCCTCTTTCTATCATTGAAGTCTTTAAGTATTTGAAATGTGAATATAACTACATGCATGCATCACGCAAGCAACATTCATGCGTGTTTAATTGACGCTGCTCGTGTGCAGTTGTGTGGAGAAATTGATCACTATAGTGTAACACCTGCTACTAAAATTGTAGGCTACTACTGCCACAGTGACTTTTCCACTGATTTGTCAAAATTTCTGCATGATTACGTCATCCAGAGTGCTTTGATGTGTGATGCTCCGTTCTTGAGAAACGTACCGAGTCAGAATTGTTTACAGTGGTAGGAACCAGACATGAAGTCTAAGTGTAGAAGTGTAAATGCCTCTAAATGTTACCTCACAGAAATGTATTACAGAAAGTAGTTACAAATATGCTGCCTGAAGCCTGAGACATTGTTTTATGGTAGTTTTGAGAATGACATTTTGCCCTAAAAAACATATTTTCTGAATCTGTTCATGGTGGAGTGGTACATGCAGGATGTTTTAAGGCAAAATAGTCTCCAAAGAAAACCTGTTTTTTCAGATTTACCACTTTTTTACCATTATCAACATGACATATGAAACTCTAAAGACATGTATAGGTTCACTGGTTGTTTTGGATAGTAAATAAAATGGCTGTATTTTGTGTTGTAGACATTGCAACCCACCACCACTGTAAAAAAATCTTAAGTCGTTGGTCTACCATGAAGCATTTCACATCAAACCATTCTGAATGACTTTGTTTACATCTGTATTATATAGGAAATTTGAAAAACTGGTAAAACTGCCCTTTAACTACAACACTTGATAAAGTTTACTGGTTTGTGTATGGTGTTTGTGTGAGGTTGACCATATGATATCAGTTCAATAAGCAGGAGTGTTAGCCTGCACGTAGTATGTGTATAAAACTTTTACACTTTTATTTGTACCGTTAATGACCTTTTAATTAAAAGGACACAGTGATAATTGGAGGGAAAATGTTCATAAGACAAACCGTAAAGGATCTGGAACTCAATGGGCCTAATTCACCAACTGTTCTTAAGAAGAAATTTCTCACTCACAGTTTTCATGAAGATTCTGTCATCGTCAGGAACAAATTTAAGAAAAATCTTTGGAATGTTGGTGAACGAGACCCAGTGTTTTTCCACAGAGCTGGAAATGATGGGGTGGTTTTCAAAAAAGCCTTTAAATTTTCCTCATGGACAAACATGGCTTTGATCCAGACCTTGTTTGGACGCTAATGATCTACAAAGTGATGCTGCATCCTCAGAGGTCTGTTAGGCTTACCTTAATCAAGTCTAAAAGCTTTCTGTGTGCACCTATCGCCTTTTCCACTAGATGGCACTGTCTGCGCTCAGTTTGGTTTGTGAAGAAGCTTCTGTCTTGAACACCACAATGCAGCAGCACTCTCAGTGGTGCCACCATGATCCATCTGTTTGAATCCATCGGGTTGATTATTGTTTTTTTGGGAAATATTGACAGTAATTGATTAAAGACATTGAAAGACATTTCTGTTGGTAAGTTGTCTCAAATATGGCTGTGGAAGAGAATATTTGATGGTCATTTTTTAAAGTCCTGCTTTGCATGACCTGTCTTAATCAGGAATACAGATTTTCTGCAGCTTTCCCATTACAAGGCCACAGCATGAGGAATGTGCTGATTTCTTTGGCTAATAAAATGGAAAACCTTGAGTCATAGACCTACAGGATTGTTTTGCTGTAATCTGTGTTTGATGTCCCCTTAAAGCCCCAGGGAACCTCCCTCCATGTTTTCCTTTTAAGTAGGTTCATTTTGCTCTTTCAGGCACATAATGTACATGTACAAAGTATGTCCTTTTCTATGTAAACTAGATGGTCTTAATCTTGGGTAAATTTTACCCACACAGCTTTAACAGAACCACGTTCTCTCCCACCATCCCACCCTCCTTTTGAGTCTCAGAAAGCTAGCAACCAAGCAAAAGCTAACTTGGCAAGCATGACAGAGCTATCAGGCTAGCCTGTTTCAGACATAGGGTGCTCATTAGATTATTAGGCCTTGCAGTTCTCCGACAGGCCTGATCAGCAGTTTAGTTCTTAAGCTGTTATTTATTATATTTCTCATTATATTTATATATCTTGTTTTTTCTTATTAGTCACAATTTGCTGGATGTTTAATATAACAATCAATTTTAGTTTCATACAAACATTTTTAACATTTTACATTGTGTTCCCTGGGACTTTAAAGTTCCTTCCAAACTGAAGTGTTGTAATAAACTGGAAAGTGTACAATATTAATGATAAAATAATTAAACATGAAAGTTGGATTTTTACGCATTTCTCACAAAAGGAAGCAGGCCAAATAACATTTCTCACTTTTCAAGCTGAATGACACATGTGCACTATCACTGGAATTACTTTGATGCATCTCTAGAAACTGACTCATTGTAAAGTATGCTCTTATGATGTGTGCAAGTGGTATAATGGTATGTTGTATTGAATGAATTATTACACAGTATAACATGTATGTCTGTGCTGTTTGTAACATATTTAAACATGAAACGTGTCATCTAAAATTATGACAGTTCTTTAGACTTCTTAAGATGCATTAGTGAATCTATATATGTATTAGGCCTATTGTGATTCTATTGGAGGAGACAGTTGTTTATGAATAAATAGATATTCATTAGATATTTTAATCATTTATGGTGGCGTGAAATTATATCAAGAGTCCAGCAGCATGTATTATTTGCTGACATGAGACAATCTCTAAACTGACCACAGTTTGGTGTGTTGGAATATGCAGTACCACAGTTGTCCACCAAGAGGCAGCATACAGTCAGGCTTTTTCATTGTTATGTTTCGGTCTTATTCCATTTGTGCTTTTCTTGTGTAACTGTCAAGAGACAATGAAGTATATCTATGACACATGAGACCTAGACAGCAGAGAGATTAAGGGTGGAAGATTGTGATGTGTGTCACTATCATTTATTGTTTTAAATGTGACTGTCGTTCAGTGCTGGGAAATCATTCTCCAGTCCAGTATCGGCCATTTGTAACTGAAATACGTTTTCCACAAATTGTATTAATTGATTTTAGTTCATTTAGCCACAAAAACCCAAAACTTAAATGCACTGTCTTTGGATAAAGAGTCTGCAGTGCATATTCAACAGGTACTTCAGCAATACAGGCTAGAAAGTTTGTTGGCACCTGCTCACTCAGAGGGACACTTTAATAGCATTTGGCCACAAGAGCATTAGTGAGGTCAGGTACTGATGTTGAGTGATTTTGAATCACAAACACCCACTACAACCCATCCCAAAGGTATTGTGGTTCATAAACTGGTCCACAATTTTGATCTAACCCAACATATATACATAGGGATATGGCAAAACGTGGACAGTCTGGGGGTCCCTGACAATAATGTTAAGAAGCACTGCTCTACACAATGGTCGGGATTGGGCATGATTACTTTAGGCCGTTAAGATAAACCACTGAGTTACCTTTTGGCTTTGGCTCATAGCCTGTGGTAACACTGCTTGTTTTATTATGTGGTCGATTTTAAAATAACATTATGTGATTATATTAATTAAAATAATATTATGTGATTATATTAATCAATTTGACCATATTGATCTTCAGTTCATGCTGATGGATGAGTTGCATGAACTGACAGTGACATTGTTAGAAAAGTGTATTTACAGCAACATTTGTTTGGTATATACATATATATATATATATATATATATATATATATATATATATATATATACGCTTATTGTCCATTTTATCAGCTCCACTTACTATATAGGTGCACTTTGTAGTTCTACAATTACAGACTGTAGTCCATCTGTTTCTCTGCATACTTTGTTAGCCCTCTTTTACCCTGTTCTTCAGTGGTCAGGACCCCCGTGGACCCTCACAGAGCAGGTACTATTTGGGTGGTATAACGTAAGCACTGCAGTAACACTGATGTGGTGGTGGTGTGTTAGTGTGTGTTGTGCAGTGCTGCTAGAGTTTTTAAACACCTCAGTGTCACTGTTGGACTGAGAATAGTCCACCAACCAAAAACATCCAGCCAACAGCGTCCTGTGGGCAGCGTCCTGTGACCACCAATGAAGGACTAGAGGATGGTTAGCTCATACTTTACAGCAAGAGATAAGCTATTGTCTCTGGCGTCATCTATAGGGTGGACCAACAACGCAGGTGCATCTGATAGTGTTTAAAAACTCCAGCATCACTGCTGTGTCTCATCCACTTGTACCAGCACAACACACACTAACACACCACCACCACGTCAGTGTTACTGCAGTCCTGAGAATTAAATAGTACCTATTCTGTGAGGGTCCTTGGGGGTCCTGACCACTGAAGAATAGGGTAAAAGGGGGCTAACAAAGTATGCAGAGAAACCGATGGACTACAGTCTGTAATATATATATGCCAATAAAATAATATGTGTAAAATTGCTAGGAATTAAATAAATGTTGTAATCTTAGGTCAATGTAAACTTATGTTAACATACAGTGTGTAGATATTGGGACAAACCTCCTAATTATTGTCTTCAGGTGTTTTTCGGGCACACTTTTTGCTAACAGTTGTATAAAATTAATACATGGGGGGGGTGAGGTGAGGTAAGATGCTGCCACTGGACTCTGGAGCAGTGGAAACACATTCTGTGGAGTGATGAATCGATCGCGCTTCTCTATGTGGCAGTCTTGGTTGGGCGAATGCCAGGAGAACATTACCTGCCTGACTGCATTGTGCCATCTGTAAAGTTTGATGGAGGAGGGATAATGCTATGGGGTTGTTTTTCAGGGGTTGGCCTAGGCCCCTTAGTTCCCTTAGTTAGTGAAAGGAAATCTTAATGCTTCAGCATACCAAGACACTTAGGACAATTCTGTGCTTCCAAATTTGTGGGAACAGTTTGGGGAAGACCCTTTTCTGTCCCAGCATGACTGAGCCCCAGTGCACAAAGCAAGGTTCATAAAGGCATGGATGGCTGGGTGAGTTTGGTGTGGGAGAACTTAACGGGTCCACACAGAGCCCTGACCTCAACCCCACCTTAGAGATGAACTAGAACGGAGATTGTGAGCCAGGCCCTCTCGTCCAACATCAGTGTCTGACCTCACAAATGCTCATCTAGATGAATGGGCAAAAATTCTCACAGACACTCTCCAAAATCTTGTGAAAAGCCTTCCTAGAAAAGAGAACGTTGTTATTGCTATAGTTATGGGGGGACTAACTCCATATTATTGCCTATAGATTTAGAATGGGATGTCATAAAAGCTCCTGTGGGTGTAATGTGTAGGTGTCCCAATACTTTTGTCCACATGGTGTATATACATGGCAACCAAGCAATCTAAGACCACTCCTTAATACAGAACCTCTCTAGATCCTCCAGTATGACCATGTCAAAAAACATTATTCTGTGGTCAGTGTGTGGATTTTGTCACATGTTTTGGATCATTGTCCTGCAGGAAGATCCAACCACAAGCTAGTTTTA